CAGAAACTGCAGGATCACAGGACAAGTGAACTGCCTTACAGCAGAGTTACACTGGGATTTGTAAACTAAGAATAATAATGCCAATGTACTATTGAAATGCTTAATTTTGGTCAAAAGCTAGTAAATTAAAATTATATTCTTGCATTAAAAACAGCATCACATTATTTTTATGCAATATTATAATGCCATATTGTGTACCGTTGTCGTGCATTGTAAAGATTGTTTTGGGGGTCAGCTGTACCACTCTTGTATGTATGTCTTCATTATATTTACTTCAATATCTTATCCCGTGCCTGTACAATTATTTCTGAGCTTTATTTTTGGTCTATTCCCTACTTTTGAATTATAAAACTTTTCTTGATATTGCATATATATGCTAACATCCAATTCTACTGCCATCTCCACCTTTGATAACAAGACCATTGCTCTTCTTGTCCAAGTTCATTCTCACACATCCATAACTCCATCCTCGCCAGGGTTTCAGTGTGAAGAGTGGGAGATTAAGCGAGAGCGATTGACACTGAGAATAAGAGAGAAGGGGGAGAGAAAGAAAGCTAGAACATGATTGGGAGAGAGTGCCTGAGAGAGAGAGATCACGCTTTCGGTCATCTTTTCCCCTCCCCATTCTACCTTCCTCGATTCTCACCCTCCAACTCGGGTGCTCAACCGGCAGTGTTGAGTGCTGTGAGGTGTCCTTTCAGCATAAAAAAGATGCTGTATCAATGTTGTGTTTCCGGAAGGGAAACACAAAATATTCCTTACAGGACTCGCGGATAGGGAATCCAGCTCGCAGCAGCAAAAAGGTTGGACCACCCTGGTATAAGCACATTTATTCAGTACATATACTGTTTGTGGGACACTGCTGTGCGCAATTGGCTGCTGTGTTTCGCCCACAAATATCCAGTCAATTCACTTTACAGCATATTCTGTGAAGCACTTTGAGATGTCTTGAAGATGTGAAAAGTGCTATATCAAATGCAAGGATTATTATATTAACTAATACTTTCTCCTACCAAGCTCTCTGGACACTGCCCTGCGTGAGGGGTGCTATGTAAATGCAAGTTATTCTTTGGGACCTGTTAATTTCACGTTTCTTATATTGTAGCGGACTAAATTCACCTTGAATCATGAAACACAAACTCCATTTCAAACTGTTAGAATTGTATATCTGTAAAATAGAATTGTAAAACTTCATTTCCTATTTCAGCTAAACATTTATCCTGTCGGTCAAGAGCTCTGTGTTGTGTATCTGAAATGTTGTAACATACTCTTTAAAAAATAAACATTTCATTTTTTACATGGCTTTTTAAATGTAAATTAAATTTCCAATCCATTTAATTATGGATATTTCCAGATAAGGTGAATAACAGATGCAATAGCTGGTGAGCCCAGCATCTGCAACATTGCTGCAGACACACTGTCAAGGAAACTTAAATCAAATGGCAGATGATTGTAATAAAGCTAGACTGGCCACGTGCAAAATGATCCTCCTGGGGTAAGCAGGATTGTTTTTGTTTATTATTCATTTACAGTAACAACATTTTTAGTGACCACCCTGTTAGTGATAAAGCTTAATACTTGATCAGTTTAGATAATAGAAGCTCCCAAATGAGTGCTCAATTTTTGTTTAACAGTGACTTCAATGCAAAACTACAAAACAGTTTGAGGAAATATAAAGAATCATTAACTATAACCTGTGAATCATTAAAAGTAAATGCAGGAAACATCAGGACATAGAAGTTTCTTTAGAGAAACTTTGTATTTGTATTAGAGGATATGCAGGTTAATTGGGATATAGGTCCCCTTAATCCTGTTACCTGTAAATAAAGTAAGTGGTGGGGTGGCAGGTCTCAAAATGTTCTTCCACTCATTCAAAGGGGACTGAAAACTATACAGAGGGTGATTTAATCCCAGTCTTTAAAGCTATATTGAAGAAGTAGATCAAAGGTATGTCCTCATTCATTTCAAGCTGAGCTGTGCTGCTCACCAAGAAACTTGCAGGGAGTTTCTGGTACCTGGAGCATGTGGGCTCAAACCTTCACTTGTTGGATGGCAAATGACCATTTGACAATCTGGCGGGAGACAGTAAGGGTGCTGTTGTTCCAAGGAAATGTGCTCGGAAACAGAATGTGAATTGGGTCAAGTATCCGTGACAGTCTTTGTATTTCTGTTTTTGAGTCATACGGGTATGTAGTACTTTAGATTCATAGAAGTACAGCTCAGAAACCTAGGATTTAGGATAGGCACTAGTGTGGAGTATAAACACCAGCCAAACTAGATGGCCATTCAGCCCATCTAGTCGGGCTGGTGTCTATACTCCACATTCGTGCCAATACTAGATCCTATCCATAGTTCCCATATCTATTTTTCCCCCCATTTCACTCAACTTTAATTTCTTAACCATGTGCCCAGTTGCTGCCCAACAACTTAGTGCGATAGAGAATTCCACACTCCGACCACACGTCCTCCCGACGTAAAAGGCGCTATACAAATGTAATCTTGTTGCAAAAACGTTTTTCCTGATCTCTGTTCTGGACCTCCCATTCTGATTTTAACACTATGACCTCTAGTTCTAGTTCTTTGACAGGATTTGCAGACTGAAGGAAACCTTCCCAAATGGCAAAGCCCTAATGGGTGGGGGGGAGAGGGGGGTCATAGTTGGAAAAGCAACAGGAAAGCTGTGCAGTGTTGGCTGGTTAAACTCCAGCACTAACCCAACACATTGGTCCACGAGCTTTGGGAACCTCTGCAGAATTAGGTAAGTAGGATTTGGGGAGGAGGGAACAGGCTGAAGAGTGGGGATAGGACAATCTGCCAGAATCATCAGCCCTTTTAGTGTTTCAACAGTTTTAGAGGCAATACGTGTGGAAAAAAAACCACACTGACTGGCTATATATGGTATGATATCCAAAATACATCAGAAACTGCATTTAACATTTTTCCAAAATAGTGGCCCTGATATTTATCTGAATATTACGCAATTATGTGCAGCAGTTTGTGGGGTGTGTTGGGGGAACCCAGAAGCAGAGGCTATTTTCTCTATATCTTGATGGAAAAGGTCACGTTAATTTGAACTGCCACTGACTACTCTGTCTATATCTCTGGTCCAGATGGTTTGTCAATTGGAGAATTAGAATATTTTACGTAAATCGGTGGGTGGGGACCTTGTGTCCCACTTTGGTTTCTAAATTGAGGATTAAATGCAATTGCACAATTTACACACTGAACGGCTTTTCTTGAATGAGGAGCAACACAGTTACAGTACTTACACACACACACACATATGACAATCCAATTCGTGGCCCCACTCCACACCAGCAATAGATATTGCTAAGAGTGATATATATAGTGATAGATACAACGCGGTGATAAATATACATAATATAGTGATATAGATGATAGAGTCGACTGTTAACTGCGATCGTGTTTGATTGCAATGTGTTGCTCTAAATCAATCGGTGAAAGTACCAACAACCGTTCGGTTCGCTCTCACGGCTTCAGCCAATGACTGGAACGTGAATGGGCGTCAAGAGTGGCAGTGAAGCCCCGAGAGGGGCAGTGAAGGGCGACCCCACGTCAAACACCTAACGCTGAATTTTGGGACACCGGGAAAGTGCAGAGCCGCAGCGGGGATTCACCACAGGGCGAGGCCCCCCCCCCCACCCCACCCCCCGGCGCTGCCCGGGAGGGAAGGGGCCCGAAGCGGCCAATCGCAGTAACAGCGCGAAATCACACGCAAGTGGCGGCAGCACAACCCACAGAGAGGCAGCGCCACAGCGCCACAGGGGCAGCGCCACCGGTTAACCTCTCATCACCAGTCACGGGCTGTGCGCACAAACCGGAGAGAGCGTTTTCTTCAAACTTTTTGTTGTTGTTGTTGTTGTCGTGGCTGCAGCCCTCCCCCCCCTCCCCCCCCCCCCCCGGGACCCGGTACCGTCGCGGCGAATGGATGGATGTGTTCTGGTAGAGTTTTGTGAAGGTTTTTAAGCGCTTTCCTCAATGGGAGTCAGTCGGCGCCTCGTGTCCTGATGTGCGCACCAGCGGTTTAATCCGCACCGCTGCAACTTAACACTGTGCTGTTGTGGACCTCAGGTAACACTAACGCTTGAAGGGTTCCCAGTGACGGATTTCATTTGAACTTCTTCTCTATATCGCTTGGAACTGCATCAGTTGTGACATGTCTGTCACCGCCACCTGAACCTCAACATTAGGTCTTACCCCCTTGAAATATTTTTTTGTTTTATTAAACAGATATAGAGTGAGTGGTCAGTTTCTGCCACAAGAAACCGCTGAGATGCATTTGTGATTCCAGATGCAGCGCCAGACTGGGAGGGCATTGGTTTGACCAAAGCACATTGATTGAATGTTAAACTGAGGTCTCTTCTATCTTTTTTTTAGGGGGTCGAAGACAGTACACATCCCGTGGCACTGTTTCAAAAAAGGACGCAAAGCTCCGGCTCGTCCTCTCAGACAGTGCAGGAGGTCAAGTGTAGTGTGTGGAGATTCAACAAAGAAAAACATTTTTTTTTTCCTTTTTGAACACTCAGGATCATCTTACTTGATTATAAGCTTAATGTCATTTGATATTGCCCGTGGAAGAACACATGTGCGCTTTAAACTAATCTTGTGTCTGAGAAATGTGCATTATTTTAATTTGAATACATTGGATGATATTGCCATAGTGTTATGATTTCTGTTAATACAACAACAACTTGCATTTATATCGTGCCCTCACGCAGGGTAGCGTCCCAGAGCGCTTGGGAATAGTACATCGGGAAACAAAAGATTCAGCAATTGTAAAATTGTCTTAAAGTATCAAGTAATGCTCTGTTTTATTTCATGCTTTGGTCATGATTTATTCTCCAAATCAGTGCAAGATCACCAATATTCACTTTATAGCCAGAGAAATAATTTTTTTGCAATGTTGAAAGTTTTGCCAAAGCACAAAATCTGAAATAAGATTTTCTTTTTTCTTCCACACATCTTATGTTCGTGTGCTGAAGGAAATAAATTTCGCCAACCGAGGTACTTCTTTTCAAATGATTTTTGAATTGTGTGGATGTGAACCTGGTTAGAGAGTATCAATTAACTATTTGACCTTGGAGAGTGTGTTGATGCTTACTGTCATCACTTCATGTTTACACACCTGAACTGTCCAGTAGGAACCACCAAATAGCAGTTAGAGGAAGGAAATCTGAATGTTTATTTTACCATTTTCCCCTTTTGGATTTTTGCTTGTGTCCCAGATAAGGTCAATTGACTCAACACAGACAAAAATTGAAGTTCACATCTTCCTAGCCTATGTGTTTTAGTATTATACTACATTGTGGATTACCAACTAATCCTGTAATAAAGAGTATAAAAACAATGTCAACTTGGCTCACTTGATAGCACTCTCATTTCTGGATCCAGGAAGGTTGTTAGTTAAAATCCCACATTGAGCTTGAATTGATATTCCAGGCTGACAATCCAGTGCCTAATAATAATAATAATCCTTGCATTTGATATAGAGCTTTTCACGTCGGGAGGACGTCCCAAAGCGCTTCACAGAACACACTGTAAAGTGAATTGACTGTATATTTGTGGGCGAACGCAGCAGCCAATTCTGCACAGCAGTGTCCCACAAACAGTCGTAGATGGAAATAACCAATTTATTATTGTTTTGGGTTTTGGAGGGATTATTATTAGGTGTGTGGAGCAAGGAAACTTGCCCAAGGTTTCACCCTCTGCCTGGAATTGAACTCAGGTCTCTCGCTTGCAAAGCAAGTGCTCTAACCACTGAGCTACAGGACTCCTTACTAGGAGCATATCGTTTGAGGTGCTGTGCTTCAGATGAACTGAAACCAAGTATCTGTCTAACTGTTCAGATGGTATTAAATATCCCATGAAACAATTTGAAAAGAGAAAGGAGTTTCTCTGTGTGTCAAATAATCCTTCAGACATATTAGATGTTCAATGTAGATGTAGATTAGATGTTCAATGCTTACAAATACCATAGTCCAGAACTACACTTGACAGATGTTGTCTTGAAGTGCTTTGGAATGTATAATTACATTTGAGAGATTCATATTTCAGTATCCAATGTACAATGGTTTCTATTACATTTGTTCAATTTGTAGATTAACTGATGCCATGGAGCAACTGATAAGAGGGTTGGAGAAGAATGGTCAAATAAGGTATTCATCATTGTTCTGCATTTTATAAATAGCATGTATGCCATGATAATTCCTCCAACTTTACTGAGCCACAAAATTATCAGGATGAAATGTAAGAAGGAAAGTATAGTAACATTGCGCTACTGTACAATAATCAATAACAGGCTCCAAGGTGCTGTGCTTAGCAACTGAATATCAAATTGATTTAACCCTTAAGAGGTGACTCTATCACCCCATCCTTGGTCGGCTCCATTGGCTCCCTATCCCCCAGAGGATAGAGTTCAAACTCCTCATTCTCACCTTCAAAGCGCTCCACAGCTTTGCTGCCCCCTACCTTTGTGACCTGCTAAATCCATATCGACCTGTCTGGTACCTTCTCGACCACGTTTTCAGTCACCTTCCTACCCCTACCCTCCCTGTCTTTCACACCTCCTGATCCCAATCCCCAGCTCGGCTCTAAATCCCTGGCTGTCCAGCGCTTTTGGACGTTCTCTCAATGTGAAAGGCACTATACAAATGTAATTTATTGTTGTCTTAAAAGTCTCGTGCTGAACCAGGTGAGATCGCACTACTGCAAGACACTGCTGAGGACAAATTAACCAGATTGGCTTATCAGCAGGATTGGTGGTGCAAACACGTAATTGGAGCAGGGAATCGTCCCACTCAGCTCTTGTTAATTCTGAAAGCCAAATAATAATCCTTGCATTTGATATAGTGCCTGATCATGTATTTCAGACATCTAAAAGCACTTCACAGAATATACTGTAAAGTGTAGTAACTGTATGTTTTGTGGATGAAAGCACTAATGGGTATGTTGTTGCTAATGTAGCTGGATAAGCATTGGGGTGCTTGCCAGCCAGTGCTCTCAATGGAAGCTATTTTAATTAGTTGAGTTCCAACAGTACCCCAACACTCGCTCTGTGGTCCCTAAACTTGGGCTTCCACCAATCTGTGTCTCATGCTGTCCAGAATTAGGTTAAAAACAACAAATTGCATGTTTATCTTGCCCTTCATGTCAGTAGCATCTCAGAGCACTCCAGAGAGAGAGAGAGTCTGCATTCCACACAGAGAAACAACATTTAAAAAGGAATTGGCTAAACTTGTAAAGAAAAATAATTCAGAAGAACCCAGTTATGACATCCTTTGATACAGTGCTTCCTTGTCTATAGCAGGAGTCTACTGTATACCCAGACCAACCAGAAGCATGGAACACCTGGCTTCAGGCATTAATTAGTCACTTTACTGCACTTAAAATGGCCAACTTCAAAGTCTGCACCCCCACCATTGAACTTCCTGCACCTTGCATCCATGTGTATTGTGCACAAGAAGCACTTCTAATATAGCTAACTGCACATTGTATAAATGTGAGTTCAGCTAATGTTAGCACTGCTTCTCACTGAGCCGTGCAGAAGAAGTGCCATTGACATCACTTTGCAGAGGAAAGCTGCAGCCAGATGACTCAAAAGTCATCCACTTCTTTTTACCTCTAAGAAGTCTGATCTCAGCAAACAAGATTTCCCAGTTGTAAAGGTTGAGGGGAAAAAGTAGGGCAATAGTATTAAAATAGACTGCTTGGGAGAAGAACCATCAGCACAGACAAAATGGGCTGTCTTTTCAAGATATGTCATCACAGCTATTCAAGAGTGGAAATCCAAATAAACCAGTCTCTGAGTGCAAAAATATACAGTTAAAATGGAAAGAATTAAAATGGGGAGCTATAGATTTTTTTTGTACTCCAGAAAATCTCCCAGATATTTCTTTTAATTAATGACATTGTTTATCTGAGTCTTTAAACACAAAAAAACTTTCCTTATTGTTAAATACAGTCTCAGCGATTCGTCATGTGAAGCAGAGCTCCAAGAACTAATGAAACAGATTGATATAATGGTGAACCGCAAAAAAGTGGATTGGGAACGACAATCACAAGTCTTGGAAACCCGTCTTGAGGTGCGAGAGCAGGAACTGACCAATGCACGCACTTGCCTTGATCAAAAACATCGAGAGGTAAAGCACTAATTAGTTCCTAGTAGACTTGGTTTGCAATAATGGTCAGTATTAATTTGCACTGTCAGTTAATAACTGAGAAAAGAAACTCATTTAATATATCTAAAAGTGACATCTCCACTCGAAGCCTGACTCTGAGCTGGGGGAGGTAAACACAGTCGATAAGGAAGGTTTTCAAGTGGCACTTGAGAAAAGGGAGAGCGCGGGCAAGGCGGAGGGATTGAAGGAGAATGTTCCACAGTTTCGGGGCGTAGTGGCTGAAAGTGCATGAAATGCATGAAACATCATTAGAATTTTTGTGATCTCCACTTCTCAAATGATGGGAGTAAAGGCTAGGAGGTGGGCCTGACTTCAGGTGACTTTGCTCCCTACCTTGTTGCAATTCTACTATTATCATTTGGGTAGCACACAGAACAAAAGTAATATGCTTACTTCCAAAGTTAATACACTTATCAAGCTGCTTCTTGACTGCCCCATGGGGCACAAGTTGGCCACACTGGTCTAGACCTACACCCATACAGTGATGGGGGAATGCTGTATTGTCAGGTGTGCCATTCTTTGGGTGAGACATTAATCTGCAGGCCCGCCTGCTTTTTCAGGTGGATGTTAATAATCCCATGAAATAGAATCAGAAAATTATATAGCACAGAAGGAGGCCATTCAGCCCATCGTGTGTGTGCCGGCTCTTTCAAGAGAGTTACCCAAATCAATCCCATTCGCCTGCTGTCTCCCCATAGCCCTGCAAACCTGTCCTCCCCAAATAATTATCTAAAACAGCACTACGGCACACACTACACCATCTAAGACACTACAGTATTTGAAAAGAGAAGGAAGATTCTCCCAAGTGTCCTGGCCAACAATAACATCGGTCATTTGCTTCAGGGAGACATTGCTGCGACATTGCTGTGCACAAACTGGCTGTCATGTATAGGTGGGATGCATGGAATTCTCAGCTTGGTTTGTATATTCCTAAGCATAGTGATTGGTTTCTGCGTGTGTCAGACTCCCGGCTGAACAAAAAAACGTTTTCCTTCCCCTCTGAAATCTATCCAAAAAAATTAATCTGCACCTTACTGTCATCATAATATTTGAAGAAATGGACAGAACAAAGTAAAGCTTCTGTTTTCCAGGTGGGAATGCTTCGTCAGCAATTGGAAGGCTTTGAAAGATCTCACAGAGCAATGGTGCAGAAGTATGAAGAACAGCTGAACAACTTTAAATCTGAAGTAAGTCATCTTCACTGATAAAAATTTAAACCTAATTTGAACAATTGATGAGTCCTGGCTTGAAGGAGACAACCTGGCAAAGGAATGTCAGAATTAAGTATTTTTGTAGTTTGGTTCCTGAGCCTGGCAGGTCCTCAGTACTCAAAAACACTGTTGATGTCAATCAGCCAGACTGATTGCATGCATCCCATCAGACCCTGTGATTTCTCAAATTTACTTGTAACTTTTTTTTAAAAAGTATTAATCCTTATCCCAAGCAATTGTCTAAAAAGTAATAATTTGCAATGGTATGGGATAAACAACAACAACAAATTACATTTGTGTAGCCTTTCACGTTGGAAGGATGTCCCAAGGCACTTGACAGTCAGGGATTTGGATCCAAGCAAGGGGTTGGGATCAGGAGGGGTGGAGGGCAAGAGGGGTAGGAAGATGGCTGAAGACACGATCGAAGAGGAGGGAAATGGGACTGAATGGACTAATCTTTCAAAGAGCACTCTTGGGCCCAAATATTTGGGTAAAATCCGACCTGGATGTAGATTAACGTAGTATTTAAGAGTGTGCAGAATTTGCAAATTGTTATCTCAAGTTTAAAGTCAAAGCCCATTTTCTGTAATTGTTAAAAAAATTAAGTCTCCAAAATGAAAGACTGTATTTAAGAATTTGAAAACTTTTGGATGCTCCGAAATGCTACATTAATAGGATAATCATAGACCCAGATTAAATTTTACTCATCAGAACAATTTTTTTCATGCTTAAAATTTTAGGAGAAAGCTCTCTGAAATTTTCTATGCTCTTTTAAAAATGTAAGAGTCTGTATACCTTACTGTAGAGAGGAAAAATCCTTATTATTGGAACCAGTGTATTGAAATTATGTCAGCTTCCCTTTTGTATTTGTTTTTTAGTTATTAATTAAAGCATATTTTTGGTGCAAATAACTAGTTGGAGGATAGATGCAGTTTATTTCTAAGTTAATTGATGGCCTTCAGTTGGATATACTTTGCTTTTTTTTGAGTTTCAATGTTTATAGTATGTTGAAAATATATCTTATTATTAATGGTTCACTATTACAGAGTGTTTTAGTCCTTATTGGCATGTTTATGCATGATGTTTCATTATTCTACGTTTGCCCATCTGTTATCTTTTTCTTTCTAAATTTGTTTTCATAAAAACAATGATTTGGAAGGTTCGGTTATTAATGATTGGTTGTTTCATCCCTTAGCTATACAAACTGCGTAACAGTTATGAGAAACTAGAGAAGCACCAAATGAAGCAAAGAAGAGAGTCCTATAGTGCACAGAATGGTGAGAGTGAAGAAACACGCTTAGAACTGAACAGGCTCAACAGAAAGCTTGAGGTATGGAATTTATTTTTCAATTGAGCAATAAAGTTTTTGATGTACACCTACATTAATTACTGAAAAATAGCACAACAAGTACTGACAGGACAAAAACTACAAGGGAGTCGCAACTCTGCACACGTGCACATTCACGCACCAACACAATCCTTGTATTGTCTGGAACACCATGAAAAGTTTCCAAACTAAGGCAGGATTTAAATATTTTCCAAAATTTGTGTGATGCTAAATTTCATACCAGTGCTGCATTCTCCTTGCATCAGCTTGGTTCAGATGGTAGCACTCTCACCTCTGACTCAGAAGATTATGTGTTCAAGCCCTATATCCGAACTTTGAGACTTGTCTAGGCTGACACTCTAATGCAGTGCTGGGTTTGTGCAGCATATTTCGAGGTGCCAGCCTTCAGGTTCTTCTGCCTATTTAGGTTGATACTGAAGATCCCATGACACTATTTAAAAAGAGAAGGGAGTTTCTTCTGGTGTCCTGGCCAACGTCGCCCAAGTAAAACTGGTCAATCACTTCATGTCTGTTTGTAGGACACAAATTGGTTACTGTGATGCCACTGTGATATTGGTTACTGCGGCCTACAAAATATCCAGTACTACACATTACAGTAAATCCTGTAAAGAGTTTTAAGATGTCATCATGAAAAGTGTTGTATTAAATACAATGATTATTATAATCCCTCCAGATTGTTCTTGTGCATCTCACAGCAAGCCATCTGTGGATCTACTTCATTCAGAACTCTGCAGCTCGTGTACTCATTCAGAACTCTGCAGCTCGTGTACTGTCCCGCACCAGGCTTCGGGACCACATCACTCCCACCCTCGCTCGCCTCCACTGGCTCCCCATCCCCCAGAGGATTGATTTCAAGATCCTCATCCTCACCTACAAGGCCATTCACGGCCTTGCTCCCTCCTACCTCTCCGACCTACTATCCCCCTACCTACCTGCCCGTACCCTCCGTTCCTCTGGCTCCGGTCTGCTCCACGTCCCCCGCCCCAATCGCCCTACCATCGGTGGTCGGGCCTTCAGCCTCTCAGCCCCCAGGCTCTGGAACTCTATCCCCCAGTGCCTTCGCCTTGCTTCCTCCCTTTCCTCCTTCAAGGCCGGTCTCAAAACCTTTCTCTTTGACCGAGCCTTCAGCTCCCCTCTCGACTCTCTTCCCCCTCCTCGCTCCCTCCCTTCCCTCCCCTTACCCTGACCATTTCCCCCCTCCTCGCTCCCTCCCTTCCCTCCCCCTGACCATTTCCCCCCTGCTCGGGTCATGACCCAACTGTGCAGCGCCTTGGGACGTCCTCCTGACGTGAAAGGCGCTTTATAAATGGAATCTTGTTGTTGTTGTTGTTGTTCTTCCGGGATTCGCACAGCATGGGAAGACCAAGAAAGAAGAAAGAGAAGAATTAACACTGTAGCTTTATGTTTAAAAAATCTTTAGAATGAAGTGTTTCTGAACAAGTATTTGACAATACATTTATTTTTATTTAGGAATTCAGGGTTAAATCCAGGGAATGGGATAAGCAAAGATTTATCTATCAATCGCAGATGGCTTCTCTGGAGGGTCAGCGAAAAGCACTGAGTGAAAAATGTGAATGTATTCAGGTACTGAAATACATTGCTTAAAAACAGTGTGTATGCTTTTCCAAACCAATGTTAAATTTATACATTTTTGGGGACATGACCGTAAAATTAATTTGAAGGATTCAAAAAAAGACATACTGGGAAGTAGAACTTTTAGAGAATATGATGTGAAAACAAGGAAGTCATGGGCAATTTGTGCATCAATTGCAATGTGCATTGTGAAACCCCAAACAAAATCTGGCTTTTTTTTCAGAAAGTTGTATTTTACCCAATTGATTTTCACCAAAAATGGATATTTATTGTTGAAAATCAGTAAAACGCAGTAAAAACTGACTTTTAAACATCCCCTCTGCTTTGGCAATAATACTGGTTATCATTTCTAATCCACTATATCAATCTCTTCTATAAAAACTGAGACAAAATATGCATTTATGACACATCATTCATCCATTTATTTAATGTTGAGTTAGTTTTCTGTAGATGTTTAAATTGATATTATTGCATTTGTTCTTCAAGTACAGACATTGCTAATCATTCATACATTGTTGGCCAGACATGGGAACAATACATTGCATATTTTTTCCTGATAGTCTCGGAGAGCACTTGATCCTTTCAGATTGGACATTAATCTTAGCACCACTATCTAGATTAAATGAGTAGGGAAAGAGCTTCTGCTGCATCTATGCTGGCATTCAAATAGGAAAAGATTGTTGCACCTCTTTCCCCCCTCCCCCATCACTTCCATTAGTAGGTCGTAAAAGTACACATTCAAACATCAAGATTTACGGTAAAACCAAAAGGATAGTCTTGTTTTTGTTGTACTGTATTATATGGACTTACTTTTGCCATTTCTTTTTGCCAAAATATTTTCCACTAAATTTAAAAGTTTTGTTCTCTAGTCATTTGCTGAAAGGCCAATATCTTTAGTCCTTTCCAAGGGCATTTTAATTTATTATTTTTACTTCCGAAGCAGCAGATCCAAGGTCACAAAGACCAGTGGATTAGCAGAAATGCAACGGACCTTGGTGAATCAGAAATTAGAAATTTAAAATGTCGAATGAAGAGTGCTGAAGAGACTATCAGGAGTGATGAGGCCACCATTGAAGAATTGAAAACTACTATTGAAAATATGACCACGAACAAGAAATTATATCAAGAGGAAAAGCAGCATCTACTAGAGGAAATTAAATGTTACCAAAGGAGGTGTCAGGTATTTGTTGTTATATATGAATATGCAATAACAAATTACATTTGTATAGAGGCTAATTGCTACCTAGTTCTAAGATTCTGCTCTTGAACCTGACCAATTGTTTCCTCCAAGAAAATAGCAAGTTGCCAATAACTTTTATGAGCTCTATGGTGTATTTCTGTATTACTGTATATTGTATTATATTATGGAAGGCTCTATCAAATGTAAGGATTATTATTTATATCTATTTATATTCCACACTCTCTGTTCCCTAGATTGATGCCGATAATTTTTTAAATTTCTAAGAACCTCATTGCGTGGTGTATCTTGGATGTTAAAAGAAGACAATCCTACAACACTATTGTCATAGTCCTGGCCCTGAGTTAAGAGCCAAAGACTCTAAAAGTCCATCAATCTTAAAACACAAAGATTGTATCTCAAAAAAACAATGAGATTAAGGGTTTGATATATTGTTCTATCTGTCTAGAATCTGGAGTCAGAACTTTCAGAGTTGAAAATAGAGTTGCAGTCACGGGATGATCTGCTCCAAGTGGGTGACATGGAACAAAAACAGCTGAGGAAGGAGCTAGCCAGTGTCAAAGGAGTTATAACACAGACAACAAATATGAACAGGTTAGAAACTTGTCAGAGTGCATATTATGACCAATAATTTAAAATCATGACTGTTCCACATATTTTGTTGATAGAAAATGATTTTTTTTAACACTTTAATGCAGATAACTTGCAAGACTGAACTGGCTTCCCAACATCAGGGATCTAAACATAGAACTAGAGGACGTTTTGTTTTCATTGATACATAATCAAATCAGTCCAGCATGTTGTTGATTTAATGGGCACCAAAAATAGTTTTATATAATTATTTGGAAGGAATTCAATTTGCACCCCATTTGTTTTTATAGTTTTAATTTACCTTGTAATTTTTGTGGCATTCTGTTTTGAAGAATTGTACAGCAGAATTGAATGAATAAGCACTCTTCTCTACATAACTATAGGTTTATTTTGTCCAAGTTTAAAAATTGAAGTGCATTTACAGTGAAATTGAATCATTAATGATCAAAAATACCCATTCAAACTAAAATAAAAGTGCTAGATTGGTTTTAAAAGTACATTAACTGCAGAACACCAAGAAGAAATGATGCACAGTGGTACCATTTAGATGTAAATCAGTTATTGATATTAGTCTGATAATTAAAGTACTTTAATAAATTACTAATGGACCAAAGTTATCTTTCCCAACCAATTACTTATGTTTGCTCTGTTAGATATTGTGGAACCTAGTCTAGCATACTTAACCCAATTAGTTATCTTAACAAAAAATACCTCAGTAAGTTTTGTTTTGAGGATTGTCTCAGAGAGATTTTAGACACATCATGGATAAGGCTTGATGGGTCAATTGACTGTATTTCCTTCCACAGACTTTCTTTAATCTACTGAGTTCTTCCAGAGGTAAATTAAGCTTATCTAACTATATTCCATTATACATCCTTGATGAGTTGCCTTATTTGTCTTTCCATTTTTATGATACCAGCAGCTCAGGAGCCATTGTGTACCATACAGTATTCTATTATCTCTCATGTTGTTTCTTATAACTCCCAGTAGTCTAGGCTGATCTCCAATGCAGTACTGGTGAACTCTATCCTTTGGGTGAGATGTTAAATCAAGGACCCATCTGCCTGTTCAGGTAGACATTAAAGATCCTGTGACATGATTCAAAATTAGAAGGAAGTTCCTTCTGGTTTCTTGGCCAACAATCCCTGAGATCAAATTAGTTATTAACTTCATGGCTGTTTGTGGGACATTGCTCTACACAAGTGGCTGCCATATTTGCCCACAAATATACAATAACTACACTTACCCCCACCTCGGCCCTACCACCTTCGGCTCCCACTCCCAGATCAAGTGTAATCCCTGAACTGTCCAGCGTCTTGTGACATCCTCCTGACATGAAAGGCATGGGTAATTTTGATCATTAATGACTCAACTTCACTGTAAATGCGCTTCAATTTTTAACTTGGCCAAAATAAAACTAAAGTTATGTAGAGAAGAGTGCTTATTTATTTAATTCTGCTGCACAATTCTTCAATACAGAACACCACAAAAATTACAAATGTAAATTTGTTGTTTACCGTAATTTCTGTGAAGCTTTTGAGACATTGATGACGTGATAAGGCATTATATCAAATGCAATAATTATTTTAATTATTTCAAAGTTCAGCTAATATTTTTAGAAAATGCATATTTAAAACATGATACGTAATAGTTCTTATTTCACAGAAGTAAAGAAACAATTAATATTGTACAGTAAACTGAACTAATCTTTATACTAAAGTGGTGTGAAATATATAGGTAACTCATTTTTTGATGATAAAATAAACCATTTAGTCAAATTGTCACCAGTATTGTTTTGCTCTTCCGTATTGATTGTTGAGTCTTTTTTAATGTATCCTTGATCTCTCAGGCAGTTTCTGTATTTTTCCATCAAATGAACCCTAGGTTCAGTCATCATTTAATAAAGTGGCTCAACTTGTGCCAGCATTTTCCAGAAAAATGTTTCAAGTGTATAGTTCTGAAAAATAGTTTTATACATCAATATGGAATTACGTGTTCTGGACCACACAGCAATGTTGGAAAAGGTCATTTGTATTGAAATAGTGCACCAGTAAATCATGAAGATTGAAACAGTCATTTTATATTAAAAGTATTGTCATCATTTTAAAGAAGACATTGACCTAAGTCTCATAGCATTTAACCGTGGTTAGATTGTGACATATCAGTGATGATGTAAGCATTTTAAGATAATGAAAAATAACAGACTAACTAATGTTCATGTAATTGATCCCAATAATTAGCTAAATTCTATTTATTAACTTATTCAATATTTTCGAAGGGTAAGCAAGGGTAATACCCATCTAAAATTTTATTTTCAATAATTAGATAATAATAATAGTCTTTGCACTTGGTATAATGCCTTTCATGTCAGGAGGATACCTTAAAGCGTTTCTTAGGAGTTACTGAAAAGTGTAATGACTGTTTGGAAATTTGTACGCACCAATATCCCACAGACAGCCATGAAGTAAACAAAGTACTGTAATGTGCTTTATTCAACAGTAGTGGTATGCACACATAATGATACTAGACTGTGTTCAAAAATCATCTTCCTCATTGTTGTTCACCATTATTCTGCTGTCTGTGCAATATCTGACCTATGGATCACATGCATTGATTCTTCAAAATAATTGAATTGTTTTACCAGCTTCAGAATGCACACCTTCTAATATTTGAATCCCTGAAACCAAAGTATTGCTTGAAGTAGTTGCCAGGATATTAGAGATTGATACCAGTATTAATAAAACATTCTTGGACAGCATTTATTTAGTATTTAGTTAATGGAAGAATTATACGTTCAATTACAATTGGTTGAGAAGCAACTTGTATCCAACAACAATATTTATTTAGCATTTATATAACACCTTTCACAATGGGAGGACATCCGAAGGTGCTGGACAATCAATGTTTTTGCACCTGAAAACAGGGGATTGGATTCAACAGAGGTGGGGTGAGAGAGGTGAAAAGCAGGCCGAGTGTAGGGTTGGTAGAGTTTAAGAAGATGATGGAGGTAAAGTGGGCACGGCCATGGAGGGATTTAAAACTGGGGACAATTATCTTGCACTCAATCCTCTGGAGGACAGGGAGCCAGTGGAGCTGGGCAAGGACGGGGGGTGATAGGCTCATGGAAACTAGGGTGGGAAAGGATTTGAGCTGTAGATTCTGAATGGTTTACAGTTTGTGGAAGGAAGAGCTGGGAAGTCTGGCAAGCAGCGAGTTGGCATAGTTAAGCCTAGATATGATAAAAGAGGCTGTTTTGGATCATGGCCAAATAAAGTCACAGTTGTTAAACATTTTGATTAATTTAGCTGAACATTGGATTACATTAGCAGATGGTCCTGCTGCTGATTATGAGATGACTGACTCTTTTTGTGGGCTCTGTTGCCTGAGTTAATTACCACTCATGTAAGAACTGTTCAGGTAGCTCTTAATTTTCAACAGCAGCAGTGCTTTTTAAAAAAAAAACACACAAAAGATGCCCAGGATTTAGAAAAAGAATATAGCTCAATTTGCTGGTCAGGCCAGCAGGTGTTACTGACTAAGCATACTTCACATATGCAAATATGCTGAAACAAAATGAAAACAGATTTTTTTAATCAGGAAAGCAATTTTTTACTATTTTGGTATTTTAGAAGTAATTTTTAAACTCATTATCAACAAACCAACAACACATTTATATTTATATAGTGCCTTTCACATCGCAGAGTGAGAACAAAAAGGAAAAAAAGAACAGTATTGGATTTTCAGAGGAACTAATTTCTAAGTAATCCGATTTATAAAAGCAGAATTGTCAGACAAATATTGCCCTATCTTTACTTCGCAGTAAATACCTGGAATTGTATCCAAAAATGATTGTTTAAGTCACTACTCATTATGCTTGTCCAACAACAACAAAAGGAGGCGAGGGAGGCGGCAATGCAAAGGGATTCCAGGATGGAGTTCCAGAGGGTGGGGGCAGAAAGGCTGAAGGCCTGACCGCCAAGGGTGGAACAGGCAGGACTGGGGACATGGAGCAGGCCAGTGCCTGCTGAGTGGAGGGAACAGGAAGGTTGGTAAAGTATTAAATCCACTTTTCAGTTCTTCATTCATATTCATCATAGTTTTACTATACAGGTGTTTTATTCAGCGCCCTTTTGAATGATTCCATTGATCCAGTCTAACTTCTACCTATTAATGAGTTCCCACCGAGCGGACAGGTTGGTAGAGATTAGTTGGTTGCAGAGGTAGGAAAGAGAAGACTGTGGCGAGCAGGAGGATGACCAAAGGCACAGTTGAAGAGGAGGGTCTTGAGACGGGTCTTGAAGAAGCAAGGGAGGGGGGGGCAAGGCAGTGAGATGGAGTTTCGGAGGGTGGGGGCAGAGTGGCTGAAGGCAGGCTGACAATAGTGAGGTGGGGGACAGGAAGCAGGCTGGAGCCCGCTGAGTGGAGGGAGTGGCCATGGAGGGGTTTGACAGTAAAGACGAGGATCTTGAACTGTACCCTCTGTGTCGTGGGAAGCCAGTGGAGTCGGGCGAGGATGGGGGTGATAGGGTCACGGTCATGTGGGAGAGGACACGGGCTGCAGAGTTCTGGATGCTCTGCAGCCTATGGAGGGAGGAGTTGGGGAGGCCGACAAACAGGGAGTTTGCGTAATCGAACCTGAATGTTATGAATGCATGTATGAGGGTCTCGGCCGCCTGTGGAGTGAGACAGTGGCAGAGCCGGGCAATGTTGGGGAGGTGGGGGAAGGCAGAGCAGGTCATGGCACGGATGTGGGGTAGAAAGGATATTCAAGTGTCAAACAAGACCCCAACATTCTGACTGGCTCAGTGAGGTGGAGTGCGCATCCATGGATGGTGATCCTGTCAGTGCTTGACGTGTGGAGACGCTGACGGGAGCCAATCAGGAGAGCGTCGATCTTGTTGACGTTCAGCTGTAGAAAATTAACTCTCATCCAAGACTTGATGTCTGACAGACATTCTGTCAGGACAGCAGTTGTCCTGGAGTCTAGGGTGGAGGCAGAGAGGTAGCGTTGGGTGGCATCCGCATACATGTGGAAGTTGACCCCATGTCTGCGGATGATGTCACCAGGAGGGAGCATATAGATACTGAAGAGGAGGGGACCAAGGACAGAGTACTGAGGAACACCGCATGAGACAGTGCTGGGGCTAGAGGTGAAGCCTTTTGCGGAGATGAAGGGGAGACAGTGCGAGAGGTACGAGAAGACGAGGAGGCAGAGGGAGCCCTGGTCGCAGATGGACAGAATGTCATTTGCCACTTTGATCAAAGCTGTTTCTGTGTTATGGGCCGCATGGAAACCTGATTGGAGGGGTTTGTGAAGGGAGTGGCGGGAGAGGAAGGAGCGAAGCTGGGAAACAACGACTTGTTCGAGGACCTTGGAAAGGAAAGAGTGGTTGGAGATGGGGTGGTAATTTGAGAGCAGGGATGGGTCCAGGGAGAGTTTTTTAAGGATAGGAGTAATGACCACCATTTTTAAAGGGGTGGGAACAGTGTCAATGGACAGGGAGAGGTTTATGATGTCTGTGAGTTGGGTGGCAAGGAGGTGGAGCTGGGAGGTAAGGAGAGGGTTAGGGATGGGGTCGAGGGAGCAGGTGCTTGGTTTCATGTGGGTAGATACAAAGTGGAAACCATTGGTAGATACAAGTGGGAAAGATAAGCATGAAACCAGGCAAGGACAAAACCATGAAGGTGGAGCTGAGAGGAGAGACAGTGGAGAAGATTAGAGTTGTCGACAGTGTCGAAAGCAACGGAGAGATCAAGAAAGACGAGGAGACAGGGAGAGCAAATGGACAGAAATATATCACGTAGATTTTTTGTTAAGTCTAATGTAACATTTCTGCTATCATAAATGGCTTAATCATATGTTGCATAAAATGTTATTAAAACCTGTAAGGCCGATTTGTCTAAAATCTAAAACGCCTAGTTGTGATGCACTTAAACACGTCATGCCATCACGCTAGATCACGCTTTGTCCATCTGAGCTCACTCCTCCCAGAACTGCAACTTTTGTACAAACAATATATTAAATCTTCATTGTGGTGGCTTATTTTGTTGAAAGCTTTTAGTCCAGGACGAGTTTTACTGGAGTTTACAGATGGCATGAGAAAGTCAGGCAGATCCTGAGGAGGAGCGAGCTCTCAAAAAACTTTATTGTAAATAAAGAACCTTTAATGCTATTCAGTTTGATAAATTATGCTTCACAAAATGTGTTATTTGTTCTTGTTGATGCAGTTTAAATGGAAGCAACTACAGTTATCTACGTTGAAATTTCTCAGCTTGCCACTTCTCTTTTTAGAATCCAATGTTGATAAATTGTGTGTCCTTGTATTGTTTAGATTTCATAAGTCACGATATTTCTAGGCAGCATAGCATATAGGAGTTAAATCTTCTGGATACATAACTGGCTTTTTGTTTATTTATCACTGCAGGACACTGGAAACCTGCTCACAGAAGCTGGCGACTAGCTCATTAGTCAACAATCTTAAAACAGAACTGGAACACACTTTGAAACAGCTTCAGGGAAAGATTAAAAATGAAACAATGCTGCAGTCAGAGGTTACCAGATTAAAGGCAGGGTATGTACAGGATTTGAATGACTAAGTATACACTTTGAATATAAAATAACAAATTAAAATTTTAAATGGAATGAAATGTAACTTTCCATTGAGAAGAGCTTACTTTTGAGTTCATCTGAACAATACTGCTTGTGCTAGAAATACCACAGATTTGGTTTGATTTTCTATAATTTGGTTCAAATTCGAGTACTTCCCCACCCACCTCCCGCCTTCACAACCCAGCACTTCTCTGTCTACCTGTAGTCGACTCCTCTGCCAGTTCATTTTTTTCAAGTTATTGAAGAGGCGAAGCTGCCGCCTGCTCTCCACAAGTGTTGAGGTTTGTCAAGAAATACCAGACAACACATTGCCTCAGACGATTATTATTATTTGCAAATTATAGAATGTGCCACCAGAGGGAGCTCTAAAGCTCTTTCCACAAATGGCTCTCCTAATACTGTATTATGAAAAAAAGTTCAGAAACTACTTTTACTTCTGTAATTTTCACTCCTTTATTAATTGCATCCGGTCAAACTTCTTTCTTCCTGGTTGTCCAACTAAGACCACCCTAATTGTTAGGACTTTGGATTGCAGGGTTAACAGGTGCTAAGTGGGACGAATTCCCTGCCCACAGTGACTGGTCTCCCCCAACAATTCGTGCCGATGAGCCAGGACGACTGTGCCTTGGAATATTTCAGACCTACTCGGCCTAGAAACCAGACAACGGAGTCCGCCAGAAAGGGTTGACTCCATTCTAAAATTCTGTTGCGAAGCATGTCACCTTGAAGCCAGTTCAGCTCCAAGGAGACCCGCCAATCTCCCCCCTCCAGAGGATAGTTGGTCATTATTAATTACATTCAGCTTTTTTATTGCAGTAGAATTCACCAATAAATTTTTCCTCATGATGTAGAACATTTTACCAAAAAAAATAAGGTATAGCATACCATAATGGATATTCAACAACAACAAAATTACATTTGTAAAGCGCTTTTCACGTCGGGAGGAAGTCCCAAGGCACTGAACAGTTAGCGATCAGGACCTGAGTGTGGGAGGCAGGGTTGGGATGAGGGAGGGCAGAGGGGGTAGAAGGGCGGCTGAAGGCATGGTCAAAAAGGAGGGTCTTGAGTCGTGCCTTGAAGGAGACAAGATAGGGAACAAGGCGAAGGAATTGTGGGATGGAGTTCCAAAGAGTGGGGGCAGAGAGGCTGAAAGCCCGGCTGGCGATGTTAGGGTGGGAGACCTGAAGCAGGCTGGAGTCTGCTGAGTAGAGGGAGTGGACAGGTTGATGGGGGTTCGCAGGTCAGAGATGTAGGAGGGGACAAGGCCATGGAGGGCCTTAAAAGTGAGGACGAGGATTTTGAATATTCTCTAGAGAACCCAATTAGATATTTAAATGGAAATATCACTTCTGAATTAAGCTACAAGGGGCAGCCCCTATGGTGCAGTGGATAGAGTTTCAACTTAAAATCCAAGTGGAAGTTAGCAAGTTTGAATCCTGGTCCATGCTGAATTTTCTTGTCTCAACCAGGGACTGCATGGAAAGTCTAAACTAAATTGGCCCTAATTCCAAGCCCAAACAACTCTCGGAAGTCTGGGGCCAATTACCTTTTCCTTGCAGCCACAGCTAAAATAATCAAACTGAGCATGGACCAGGATTCAAACCAGGAGACTAGCAATCTGCAACTCAGTCCATAAACACAATTTGATCCACTACACTTGAATTATTCTTAAATCTAGATTTTCTTTGGAAGGGAACAAGTTTCATTTGACTATGATATTACCCAAACTCAAACACACATGATGCCCCAGTTTAAATCGATTCAGGTAGGATATTTTTCATTAAATAATGATCGACCTGTAACATATCAAGGAATTAAGGATAGTCATGTTGAAATTGATTGGCTGCCCTGGAATCAATACAAATTATTCAGTCAGTATTTAAGACATTGCTCTGAGCTCTGACTTCTATTCCTTGTCTGTTGAATCACCTAAGTGTATGTCTGCACATCTACTGATGCTAAAGAGAATGATGCAAACTTTTCATGTGCTTAAGCATCCTTTGAGAGACTTTCAATCAAGCTTGACATTAATTGATTAATTTATAATGTTAGGTTAATTAGAATACTCTATTTACAAATAATCTGCAATCAAATTTGAATTGAAGGATATTTGATCTTGATTGATGATGTATCATCGTGGTCCTGAGATGTGAAGGATTCAATCACATGGGAGGCCAAGTACTGTATTTGGTTGAAGAAGTGTGTGGAATGGAAGTTTTTATCAAGTTGTAATTGAATAGTATTGCATAACTACCTTAATGAACCAAAGAATTAAAGATAATTCAGACAATATAATAAAGCCATGAAATCACAAGTACCACAGTAAATTGCAAGCCTATTGTCTATCAGTTATCCAGCCTGTCCTCAACCACTAGTTTATTTATTTCATTTTATTAAAGTTTAATAAAATGTGCTCAATTGCAAATAGATTTATAATTTTGATGTTTCTTATTGATGACTCAGTTTAAATGTCATTGCATTAGAAAATATTTATCAATGGTTCAATGGGCCTGTACTATTGCTGTCTCCGACCCCCTACCTTGAGCTACTGTATTTGCTCTAATCATATTATGCTGTTATTTTCCTGTAGTTTTAGGGTGAAAATCTTTCATTTGGAAATTTACATTGTTCTGTGCTGTTTAGAAGGATGCCAGAATTATACCATGAAAGTTACATTAATTTCCCTTAGGGAGCAATCATAACAAATTGAAACCTGTATTATGGAAGTAACAGCTTAATTTTCTTAAAAGTTTTATTTGGAACAATTTTGAAGACACGCCTTACGGCCCTTTGCACTTGTCTAACTATCAACAAACATTCAGCATTATATTTCAGGTGAACTTGAATAAATTACCTTTGAAGATATTAGATAAACTAGATATTTGAAAACTGAAACATCTTCAGAGATCTTTAAAAAATCATCATTAGATTTTGGAGTGCTTAACAACTAAATATTGTTTGTATACAATAACAACGAGTATAATCACTTTCATGAATAGTTTTGCTTCTTAAGATGTATTGAAGTGGGTACCAATTTTTAAAAATACTAGTTAATACATAATGCTTTATGAAATAAGATTTTACATGGTAATTACTGTGCCTACATGATTTGGAAACTTATGTATTGTGAATCCTACCCAATTGATTATGTGGTTAGAGAAGACCTATCCAGTAATTCAGTATGCTCATCTGATGTTAATGTTATTTGCTGTGCTGAATCAACCCAAAAAAATCTAATCAAGTGGTCATGCATGAATGAATACTCTCAATGCTGTTGTTGTTTATTGCGTGGCTGCACATTTGTTCAGTCAGGGTCCACACATATGTTATTGTAAAAGCGAATTATGTAGATGCTTGAAAAAGAGAATTATTAAATGGTATGATGATTGAATGGGAGAATGGGATTAGATTAGTTGGATCAAGTGTTTAAAAATGAATGGCTCCTTTAAAGCTAATATTTTTACTTTTGACACATCCATAAATCTATGCTCATACATCCCAAATTCTAGATGTACGAAATATGCATAAAAACAATCTTTTGGGGGGGAATCTATATAATTTAAACACAAGATTTCTTGCCCACAAAATATTCAGTCAATTGATTTTCCAGTATATTCTGTGAAGCACTTTGAGACATGTCAATGACCCAACCTGCTATGCTCCCACACAGCATCAAGCTGCTTTTAAAATTAGTCCAGTGTCCTGATCATAATCTGTAGCCAATAATTATAATATTCATTCATACATTTGGTGTTGCATCTTTCACATAGGCAGAATGTCTCAAAGGTTTTTACTGTAAAGTGTAGTGTTTGTAGGCAAACACAGAAACCAATTGATACAGCATGTTAGTGTCCCATACATTTTGTGTTATTAGATTCTCAGGACAAAAAAAAGTAAAATGGCTTCAGATTTAGAACAAATGTTTAGCTCCTTTAGCTCTTATCTATGTTTGTTAGGTAAGAGCTAGAGGAGCTAAAAATATTATTCTGGGACACATCAGCTTAAGACTAAATTCATGAAAACAAAGAATATAGCATTCGTTTTTCACTGATGTTTTATCACATTTTCTGTGAATCATTTTGCATACTATGATATTAAACAGAATGGATGCATTCCCATGTTACTTAATAACTTTGTTTTATTTAATTAACAACAACAACTTGCGTTTATATAGCGCCCCAGGGCGCTTAAATTTTAAATTAAAGGTTTGGTACAGAAATTCAAAGAAAAATTGTTAAAGGAAAGCACTAATTATTCCATTTGTTATTCTTAAAATATGAATTTCTAATTCAGGAAAGGAAAGGATTTAAACCATGACCAAGCCATTTTAATTACCATGGGAGCCAAAATGATTTGCATAAAGATCCGTGTAAAGATGAAGGTGTATGTTGTCTTTCCCCCAGGCTTGATTCATCCCATAAATATTCCATGCAGAAGAATGACGAGCTCAGCAAAAATGAGGAAGAGCTACGGAGATTGCAGCATGAGCATACACAAGGGGACAGAGAAATCAATAGAGTAAGTCTAATAGACTTCTGTCAGCTGCAGGGTGGATTTGGGATATTGTGATGTGCTGGGTCATTTAGGTTTTTATCATTGAGCTAAAACAAAACTATAATTTTTCATTCCATGTTTGATTAGCTTTGTAAAAAAATGGCTTCGTAAGTTAAGTATAGAAGCTACTAAATGTTTAAAAATTGATCTATCCTCATTGGATTTTTGTTCTGACACTGTCATACATTAATAATGGCCCAACTCCAGCAGCTAGGAGGCAATGATGGCATTATATTCACAAATATTGTTGAAAAATATGTTGAAATGACTAAGTATCATCTTCATCATGGTCTTTGAATAAAATAAAATTGCAGGACAAAAATATTTTATGTTTGGCTTTAAATAAGAAAATACATGTATTCTATATTTGTAAGTTTAGTCCAAATTGCTATTAATTGCTGTAAGCAAACATAATATTAAGAGATCCCTGAATTATGTTTTTTTTCCAATGAAGCAGATGGATTGATGGGGGAGGAAGGGAGGGAATGTAGAAGTCTATAACAATCACAATAAGTCACTTGGGAGAAATCGTTTATTTTAGTTGGGGAATTGATTGCAATGATTGTTAGAAGAAAAATTAGGGGAGAAGCTAGACAGAATTTCTTCACTGAGAAGGTTATTGGCATTTGGGAATTCATTAATAGGTAGCAGTTATTGAGGTTAGATCAATGGAATCATTCAAAAGGGCGCTGGATAAAACACCTGTGTAATATGATGAAATTGAGCAAAGAGCTGAAAAGTGGGTTTAATACCTTACCAACCTTCCTGCTCGCTCCACTTACCGAGCATTGCTAATTGCCTGCTCCCCTCCCTGCCTGTTCCACCCTCAGTAGTCGGGCCTTATTAGGATTATTATTATTATAAAGTGCACTCTCAATTTGATGGTTTACTTTGGAGTATATCAGGGTTACAGTATAATAATAATAATCCTTGCATTTGATATAGCGCTTTTCATGTCGGGAGGATGTCCCAAAGCGCTTCACAGAACACACTGTAAAGTGAATTGACTGTATATTTGTGAGCGAACGCAGCAGCCAATTGCGCACAGCAATGTCCCACAAACAATCGTAGATTGAAAATGACCAATTTATTATTGTTTTTGATTTTTTGGAGGGATTATTATTAGGCATGTGCAGTAAGGAAACTTGCCCAAGGTTTCGCCCTGCCTGGAATTGAACTCAGGTCTCTCACTTGCAAAGCGAGTGTTCTGACCACTGAGCTACAGGACTCCAGTATACACAAGTCATACATTTTTCATTAAAATTGGCTTCACATTCAGCTAGGAAAATAATTTTATTCCACACTTGGCCATACCAAAATCCTGCCTGTTCAACTATTTGCAATTAATCCTGCCGGTACAGTATATTTTCCAATTGAATGTTGACAAGACCAAAGCCCTCCTGCTTGGCTCCTGTCGGTGCCTCCTCACCTCAGGAGCATCATTATTCATGGATGCACTCTCCACCTCACCGAGCCAGTATGGAACCTCAAGACCTTTCTCTTTGACCATGCCTTCAGTCATCCTCCCACCTCCAACCCCCTTACCCTCCACCCTTCTTGACTCTAATCCCCAGCTCAGGTTCAAATCCTTCACTGTCCCTCGCCTTGGGATGTCCTCCCAACGTGAAAGGATTTATATTCAAATGCACTTTATTGTTGTTGTTGTTTGGAGTCAAATTAAATATTTTTAAATTGTTTGGTTAGTACTTGTGTTGAATGTTTTCAGATCATGTGAGACATAATGTGTAGATTCCAATTCATCCCACCATGAAATCTTCCCAAGAGCTACATGAAAGTAGTAGATTCTGGTGAGCTCTTTGCCCATAAATTAAACATGCCAGGTGGTTAACAAAGGCTATTCCCATGATATTTAGCTGCACTGAAAGTTGTGGAATATGCCAGAGGCTGAGATCAACTCTTTTAGTTTTTATCACAATTTAAATTGTGCCCTGGTGAGACCGCACCTAGTATTGTGTGCAGTTTTGGTCTCCTTATTTAAGAAAGGATGTACTCGCCTTGGAGGGGGTACAACGTAGATTCACTAGGTTGGTACCTGGGATGAGGGGGATAAGTTATGAGGATAGGTTAAGTAATTTAGGCCTATATTCTCTAGAATATAGAAGAATGAGAGGTGATCTTATAGAAACCTATAAGATTATTAAAGCGCACGACAGAACAGATAGGGGGAGGCATTTTCCCCTTGTTGGAGAAACTATGATTAGGGTTCACAGTCTTAAAATTAGGGTTAATCCCTTTCGAAAAGAGATGAGGAAAAACTTCTTCACTCAGAGGGGAGTGCATTTATGGAATTCTCTAACACAAAGAGCTGTAGATGCTCAGTCCTTGAATATATTCAAGACTGAGATTAATAGATTTCTTGTGCTGAAGGGATTGAGGGATATGGGGATAAGAGGAGTAGGTGGAGTTAGAATAAATCAGCATGATCTTATTGAATGGCGAAGCAGGCTCGAGGGGCTAAATGACCTACTCCTGCTCCTAATTCTTATATTCTTATGTAAATCTTTTTATTTTAGATTTATCTGGTATGAGAGAGAATTCTTTATATAGTCTGTCTAGCATTCTTTTTTCTAATTTTGTTTTGGTACATTAGTACCATCAAGGTGAAGAAGGGTGGCTGTGGTGAGAAAGGGACCTTTCCCCCAAACTGGCAAGATATTAATATACAACTTGCTAATATAATAACAATAATCCTTGCATTTGATATAGTGCCTCATCAAGTCTTCGAGACATTTCAAAATTGACTGTGTATTTTTGGGGCGAAACGTGGCAGTCAATTGTGCCCAGTAGTGTCCCACAAACAGTCGTGGGTTGAGTGACCTAATTTTTTTTTAAAAATGTTTTTTGAAGGGATTATTATCCCCGGAAAAGTGATCCGCCAATCGACTAACAACCGGGTTCCTACTTACTGCAAGGTAAACAGAGGCGAGTGGAGTAAGGAAACTTGCTTAAGGTTTCGCCCTGCCCGGGAATCAAACCCAGGTCCTGTCCCTTGCGAGATGAGTGCTCCGACCACTGAGCTACAGGACTCCATGAATGACCAGTGTGTACGTGTCAGAGATTTGTACAGAAAGAATGTAAATAGGTGTAGAATATTGAGCATTAGTGCTAAAAAAAGGTTTAGCGTTACTACTGATGTTTCGAGCCTTCAAAATTAAATGTCAAACACGTGGTAGATAATAGCAACCATTGCAGCCAGAGCCTCCCATGATCTTGAACTTTATTCAAGAAATTAGTCCATTTTTAATCAATTATTTTGTTGTGAACATTTGGGAAATACTGTTACAGTATTTTAAATTTCTGTTTCTGCTTTGCTGCAGTCATCTTACTCAGTGTCCTTTAATTACAGCTGAGAGACTCTTTGTATCAGATGGAACAGTCACAAAGTTCTGAGATTGAGGGATTTAGAACCGAGGTCTCCAACCTGACTGCAGAGCTCCATCAAAGAGACATTACTATAGCAACTGTCAGAGAAAAAGCTGCTCATCTTGAAAGGCAACTCAAAATTGAGCTGGAGAAAGAAGAACAAATATTTTCTGAATCGCAGGTCTGTGAAATGTTACTATCACGCATAGATAATTTAATATTTCTCTGGTGGGTCCGTGTGCCAACTAATCTAAAGACAGAAGAGAGTTCTAAGGGGATGGGAGAGTCCTGGAAGTACTGTAGATGAAATATAATGGGGGTGTCTCATTGAATAACAGTAAATCCTTGGAACCTGGAGGGCAAGAACATTGTATTGGTTGGTCTGTAAATTTGCCGACTTTTAGTGTGAGTTTATAATGAGATCCATTCATAGAACTTCAGCATCAAATATTTTTAACATCTCAGATGCAGTACATTGTGGAATAGGGAAGTATAAATTATACTTGCCCTGCAGATTACAACACTGCTGAAAATTTTCTCCATGTTGGTGCTTTATGTGACTGGGAATCCTTGAAGCTTGCACTGGGCTCTTGAAATAGTAACACTTTTCATTCCCCGGGGCAATTATTCTTCATCGTTCCAGGAACAACAAGAATTCCAGGAAAAAAAATAATATTTTACCTCTAATAAGATTTTGTGTAGCTCATGCTTTTGACTGCATTTACAGGTGGCTATGATCCAGCTTCAGTCCCTTAAAGTTGAGAATAAACAGATGAAGGAAATGGTGAAAATGTTTGAGGTTAAAAGACCTATGGTAATTTTATGAAATTATATATTATGAATATAATTTACCAAAGGTTGAACTTATTGGTACACAAGGAAATCTTGTTGGAGCGCTTTTGAGCATGGTAAGGCTCATGATCCCATCACTCCCACCCTCGCCCGACTCCACTGACTCCCCATCCCTCAGAGGATCGAATTCAGGATCTTCGTCCTCACTTTCAAGGCCATCTATGGCTTTGCCCCCTCCTACCTCTCTGACCTGCTGACTCCCTACCAACCTGCCCGCTCCCTCCGCTCATCAGGCTCTAGTCTGCTCCATGTCTCCCGCCCGACCCGCCCTACCATCGGTGGCCGGGCTTTCAGCCTCTCTGCCCCCACATACTGGAACTCCATCCCACGGTCCCTTCGTTTCGCTTCCTCCCTTGCCTCCTTCAAGGCCGGTCTCAACACCCTTCTCTTCGACCGTGCCTTTGGTCTCCCTCCCACCTCTCTGTCTTCCTTCACCCCTACCCGACCCCTCCCCCATGCTCAGGTCCTGACCCCTGACTGTTCAGCGCTTTGGGATGTCCTCCTGACATGAAAGGTGCTCTATAAATGTAATTTTGTTTTTGTTTGTTATTGTTGTTGTATAGCAATGCCTTGCTTAGAGCTTGTGCTCACCGGAAGCTCTGGCTGCCTAGCCAGCTTCCTGGGGTAAAATTGCCAATGTTTGGGTTGTCATAGATGTCACTTCCTGCATTTGCGTGTATGTGCACTGTACACAGGAAGCATCTCTCATGTCACTTCATGTGCACCGTTATGTGCAGTAAGGAGAGAATTTAAGACTGTAAAGTTGTTTACTTTTTCATGTCACCAATTTTTTTTCATACAATTGAGATATTGGACTCAGCTGACTCCATTATAATTTTTTTTTCCTCCAAAAGGCCTTGGACAAATAAGAATGACTAAAGTTCTTTAAAAGTTTATATTATCCCCCTTCCTCCTTGTTCTGTTTTTATAAATCAGTGTGCCAGATCGTTCCCCGTTCTTTACTCCCATAGACTAACAGTAGTATCTCAGTCTTGCCTCCTCATGAGAGTCAACTTAAGGTCTTCTCATCACTTTACCACTTGATTTTTATTGTGCAAGAGTCACATAAAGTATTCATATGAATAATGCAGTCTATTAAATTTCCTGACTGAGAGCATGTACAGGTGATCTATTTCTAACCATTAGGAGTCCTGTAACTCGGTGGTTGTAGTAATCGCCTTGCAAGTGAGAGACCTGGGTTTATTCCTGGAAGGGCGAAATGTTGAGCAAGTTTCCACATGTCTCTGTTTACCTAGCAGTAAATAGGAACCCAGTTGTTAGTCAATTGGTGGATTGTTTTTCCAGGAATAGTAATCCCTCAAGAAAAAAAACAGTAATAATTTGGTCACGCAATCCAAGACTGTTTGTGGGATACTGTGTTTTGCCCATAAATATGCAGTCAATTCACTTTACAATATATTCTGTGAAGCGCTTTGAGACATCTAGAAGACGTGAAAAGCGCTATACCAAATGCAAGGATTATTATTATTATATTTGTATTTTCAATTTTTCAATTATCTTCAGTGTTTATGGACATCTTCTCCCAATCCATGTGGATAACTGGCTTTCCATTGTAAGTACGGCTCCACAAAGTGATGCACACATTTTTTTTGGTCAGCTGGGTGTCTGACACATGCAGAAACCCATCCCATGCTTAAAATAATTCAAACCAAACTGAGGGTTCCATACATGCATCCCACCTACACATGAAATCCCACAGCTAGATTGTTAGATTGGAATGCGCACTCTCTCCCTGGAGGGATGTATCCTACTTACCTAATTCCGAAAAATATTAGGCCATGTGAAAGGCACTATCTCAAATGCAAGGTTTATTATAGATTATTATATATTATTATTGTTAGCCATTGCTAGAGCTGAACTGTCCACTGGGGATATGGGAATAGTAATGCTCACTGATTTTCCATCCTTTCCTGTTCCTCCACAGATAAGATTAGTACTAGGGATAAACATGCATTTCGTAAAGTATTCCCAAAAAAGTGCATGCCTGCACTGCAGCACAGAAGGAGTTTATTTGGCATTTGGTGCTTGTGCTCAAAAAAAATCATTTAGTCTCATTCCCCTTCCCTTTCCACATACCCTTAAGTGCATTCCAAGACAATACCCGCGCGAAGGGTACTAATTACTTGGAAGTTGTTGTATCCTTTTATACTATCCTTTTTCAAATATTTTCGAATTCCCTTTTTTAAAGAAAACGAGGCTTGTAAAAGAATGGTAGAATGGTTTCTTCACAACCAAATCTTTGCAAGTTTTAATTCAAACGCTACAATTTCACATTTTGTGGAAGACGAATCTTTGTTGGGTTGAAAAAACTGGTTAGATAATTAGAATCATGAAAATGTCCTCCTGGGGTCAAATTTGTGGTATTTCTTAACAGGATTACTTTATAAGGATTCCAAGTGACAGAAATGGAGACTCTTTCCGATGTCATGCTCACAAAATACAGTCAAACCACTTTACAGTATACTCTATGATGTACTTTGAGACATCTCAATGACGTGATAAGGCACTATATCAAATGCAAAGATTATTATTAATAATAATATTATTAACCTGCAACTCTACTGAACTCTTAATTCTAATTCTAATTAATTTTGAATTAATTCTTAATTCTAATGGAATTTCTGACCTATTAAGAAATACCCCAAATTAGACACAATCTGTGAATTCCCTGTCCTTATGGCTGAGTGGTGCTTTACAAAGATGAGGGAGAAGGGAAATTTGACAGTTTAAAAAAGTAGAGTAAGTAGAGTTTGATCCTAAAGGTATTTTATCCTTTTTTTTGTTGCTGGACGTTAAACAAAGTTAGAAAACACGGGGAGAGTTTGATAAAATGGCAAGAAGGGATTATTTTTGATGATGGATTAAATAATGCATTACAGTATATACTTTTCAGGAAAACACAATTACATTAATTTAATATAATTTAATTTTTTAATTTTCAAATATTGATATTTCTTTCATGGTGGATGGAGAGAAGCATTGTGAGAAATTAAATGAAAATTGATTGCTTTGAAAACATGTAGGATTTGGTGCAGTATTGAATATGAAGCAATGCAATATACTTTTTCTTTTTTTTAACCTTTAGACTAAGCACCAAGGTGAGGGAAATTCCTGTCTCCTTGTGCTGCTTTGAGTATATTCAGTTGTAAAGTTAAATTAAATTCTGATTTTGCACAGCCAAAATTACTTCAATATCAGGAGTCACTTTATTACTCTTTCTCCCTATTAATGATAATAATAATCCCTGCATTTGGTATATATAGCACCTTATCACGTCAGAAGGAGTCTCAAAGCGCTTCACAGGATTTACTATGAAATGGAGAGACTATGTATTTGTAGGCAAACATAGCAGCACAATTCTGCATAGAAATGTCCCAGAAACAGGCATGAAATGAATGACAATTTTATTTGAGGGCTTGTTGGCCAGGACACTGGGTGAAACTCCCTTCTCTTTTCGAATAGTGTGATGGGATCTTTAACGTCCACCTGAACAGGCAGATGGGACCTTGGTTTAATGTCTCACCCAAAGGACAGCACCTCCGACAATGCAATATACTCTCAGCACTACATGGGAGTATTAGTTTAGACTATGTGAATTCAAGTCCCGAAATGGGATTTGAACCCACAACCTTCTAACTCAGAGGCGAGAGTGCTACCACTGAGCCAAGCTGACATGTTAAAGGGCAAATGTACACTTAAAGCACATCATTATCAAAAGATCCGAAATGTAAATTAATTATTCTTGCTCCATCATATGTATCCCCCCCCACCCCCACCTCACTTTATTTTATTTTTAAATATAATCTAAACAAGCTATCATCATATGCTGCACCTGCATTCGGGTGTGTTTCTATTGTCTATAAACACTGTACTTTTCACAGTGATTTTAATCTGACAAATGCCAATATAAATTGGGTGTGAGACATGCAATTGTGAAGCAATTTGTGCTAGAGATCAGCTTCCAAGACCACCTTATGAAATTGTTTTCACCAAGACATTGATTCGCCTTGCTGCAATAAAAATTCCAGCGATGCAAATTGATTTGCCCTCTGTTCAAAAGGTGATCCTTGAAATCTCTTGGGCAACAAAAGTTTTAAGAAACAGACTATAATGTTATTAAAGAGTCTGTGTGTAAGTGGGGTCTCCTTGGAGCTGAACTGGCTCTAAAGTAACATGTTTGACAACTGAATATCGAAATTGAGCCAGCCCTCCATGGCAGTCTTGCTGATCCGGTTCCTGAGCCAGGCGAGTCCGCAGTATTCCAGGACACTGCTGATGACAGCACAGCAGGGCTTGGATAAGTCACTGGAGGCAGGGAGTCATCCCGCTCAGCTCCTGGTAACACTGCAAACCAAAGCCATAGATGGACAATCAACGGGAAAGCTTGCCAAATAGTGCTCTCAATGGCAAGCTATGTGATTTTGGCTGGTTAGACTCCAGAGGTCCCTCAACGCGCACTCTGGGGTTTCCAAGCCTTGGCTCTTGTCAACATGGCCTAATATTTTTCGGAATTAGGTAAGTAGGATACATCCCTCCAGGGAGAGAGTGCGCATTCCAATCTAACAATCTAGCTGTGGGATTTCATGTGTAGGTGGGACGCATGTATGGAACCCTCAGTTTGGTTTGAATTATTTTAAGCATGGGATGGGTTTCTGCATGTGTCAGACACCCAGCTGACCAAAAAAAATGTGTGCATCACTTTGTGGAGCCGTACTTACAATGGAAAGCCAGTTATCCACATGGATTGGGAGAAGATGTCCATAAGGAAACACTGAAGATAATTGGAAAATTGAAAAATACAAATATAATAATAATAATCCTTGCATTTGGTATAGCACTTTTCACGTCTTCTAGACGTCTCAAAACACTTCACAGAATATACTGTAAAGTAAATTGACTGTATATTTGTGGGCGAAACGCGGCAGCCAATTGCGCACAGCAGTGTCCCACAAACAGTCGTGGATTGAAAATGACCAATTTATTATTGCTTTTTTTGGAAGGGATTATTATTAGGCGTGTGGAGTAAGGAAAATTGCCCAAGGTTTTGCCCTGCCTGGAATTGAACCCAGGTGTCTCGCTTGCAATTAAGGTATTTTCCATTATGAATTTCAATCTGTACTGAAAGTTTTCTTTAGTAAAAGGTCAGACTCAACAATTTTTGTTAACCCAAATATGCGAAAACTACCAAAACAGTTGCTCCCGTTACTTTAAAACATTTCAGATTAAATTTTTCAGGGGAGGTGGAGGAGTGGAAATTGGCTGCAATTAACCAAAAAACTTCCTCCATCACTAATTGTATCATCAATACTTTACCACACTGCGCCAACCCTTCTCGCTCTCTCTTAACCTTTTCCTCTCTTTTCTCTCTCTCTCTCTCTCTCTCTCTCTGATGTTGTAATCTAATGTTCTCTTTCTCTCTTTCTCCTTGGCTCTCTAAATTTCTCTTTTTGATTTTCTCTTTCTCTGTCTCTCATTCTCTCGTTGACCAAATTTCTCAGTCTGTCTCTCTCCGTCTGTCTCTAACACTACACCTGAACCTACAACAGGCCGCTAAGTAAATACCTTTGCTTCAGCTTGCCGATTAACAAGTTGATTCAATGAGAAATCCTGTAACCATGCAACTAGATATTATGGCTGGTATGATAGCCCAGAGTTCACTTCCACATCAGAGCCCTCTTTGGAGAAGTGGGCATGTAGATTATCAGTGTGTACACATGGAGGGTTCTACCTTATTAGCGCATGTATAAAGTTACATATGTGCAGAGCCTCCTCTACAAAGAACAATTGGGATTGGATACATAACTCCGGTTTCCTACTCCTATTACTCAACTGCTGGAAGCAATATAAATTGAGAAAGATTTAAATAAAAAGCTAAAAATAAGTAGCTTTTTCCCCTGTGAATAATAAAAAAGATGTTTGAAATCTTTTACTTGCCTCACTTCCACCCTCAGCTTTCACCATCTGTTTTGAAGGTAGTAATACATTTTTTTTTAAAAAACAACTTTACATTAGTTGAATTCTGGCTTTTCCAAAACCAGTTTTTAACCAAACAAAATCTCAACTTGAAGACTGGCTTGGTTGCACCATTTGCAAACAGATTTATCTTTGATGGATATTTACACACAATCCAGTCAAGAAAAATTATGTTTCAAATACGTTAGGCTAAACAATGCAAGGATTATAAACTACATGAATAGCTGCTTGGCAGCTTGCTAATTTGCAGTCAACATGCTTGCTCAGTAATTCTTTGTTTTCTGGGGGGATAATATATCAGTGCTCTGTTCTTTATTTGAATTCTTTTAAAGGTATTTTTCATTGTCTAATTTTTTTGCAGTTAATGTTAAGAATACAAATTCTTGTGCTTATTTTGAGTTCTTTGGCTGTTGATATCATGTAGTCATTTCCTTACACACATCTGAAAAATTGGCATTATTGCATTTAGAACTTTACAGAGACATCAGTAAAACAGTTTATGCCCATTATTGATCATTAGTTTTTTTTAAAAGATGATTGATAATACTGTATTTCAGCAAATTTGTTCTCTCTGCAGAGAGCAGATGAACAAGTCAAAGAGTTGCAAAACACCTATGCAGCCTCTATCAGTAAATTGGAGTATGAGAACAAAAGGTTACAGAAAGACATAGGCAAACTACAGGCAGTGCTGGAAATGTCTTCTAAGGCTAGCCAGGAAAAATATGAGGCAGCACTCCGCCATACACAGCAGGCTGTAGCAGAGATGAAGGAACATGAAGATGGGTAAAGTGAATGTTTTAAAGATTTTGCAGTTATTGCCAAGCAAATATTGTACCTTCAAGGTCATTTTTTTCCTTTTGATAATGTTTTCTCTCCATCTGTTAAATGAGTTTGTAGCTATTTGCAATGCTTGTTTTAAAGCAATATACCTAGCCATGCAGATTCCTTTTCAGTTAAATCAACTGAATATCCAGAAATATTTCATGGCAAGACCCGCTCTGCCTTTCCCCACCTCCGCAACATCGCCTATCTGCCTCACCCCTCAGGCCACTGAAACCCTCATCCACGCATTCATCACATCTTGGCTCAAGAACGCCAACTCCCTGCTTGTTGGCCTTCCCAACTCTTCCCTCCACAAGCTGCTTATCATCCAGAACTCTGCAGCTTGTGTCCTCTCCCGCACCAGACTCCGTGCCCCCATCACCCTCATCCTAACCCGGCTCCACTGGCTGCCCATCCCCCTCAAAATCCTCGTCTTAGCCTTCAAGGCCCTCCACGACCTTGCTCCTTTCTACCTCTGCGACATGCTGACCCCATAATCAACCTGTCTGCTCCCTCCACTCAGCAGGCTCTGGCCTGCTCCACATCCCCCGGCCTGTTCCACCATCCGTGGCCGGGCCTTCAGTCTTTCTGCCCCCACCCTTTGGAACTCCATCCCAAGTTCCCTTTGCCTCACTCCCTCCTTTGCCTCCTTCAAGGCACATTTCACAACCCTCCTCTTCGACCAAGCCTTTGGCCACTCTCCTACCCATCCTGCCCTCCACCACCCCGATCCTCACCCCCAGCTCGGGTCCAAATCCCTGACCGTCCAGCACCTTAGGACGTCCTCCCGACATGAAAGGCGCTTTACAAATTTAATTTGTATTGTAATTTTATGTTTTCATACATTTGTTTTCTTTAATTTAAAGGTTTAAAAAGAAGTCCAATGCAAAAAAAAACTATTACCTTTAAAAAATAAGGAATACATATAACAACTGACAATTTTCATGAACAATGAAGAATAATACAGCAACTGAAACACACAAATAAAATAGTTTAAGCTAACAACTATTTTCAAGTGTGGTTGCTAGTTGTTAATTTATAAGAATTGCAAAATATTGTACAGTAAAACTTGCATAAGTTTTACTATACAGTATTTGGCAATTCTTATAAAATAACGTAGCAGAAAATAACCTAAAGTAGCATTAGTATCCAAATTTTATTGTCTGATTCGAAGTTAATTATAGTCAGGTAATCAAACAGAAGAAGTAGAAATCTTGCAAAGTTGTGAAATGATGGCTTTTATTTTGGAATTTTCAGGAGGGTTAAAAAACTGCGACAAGAAAATCAACAGCAAATGTCAGCCATGAAAGGCAAACTGAAGGAAACTATACAACATTACGAGGAGAAAATTAAGGTCTTCCAGAAGGACAACCCCAATCACAATAATTTGGAGATTTTCTCACCTCGATTTATAGAGCAAGAAAATGTAGAGTCCTCATTGAAAAGGCGGCCAACATCTACTGAATGGTCTTCAGACTGTGGTTGTTTTTTCCATAGCACTGATCTTTTAAGTGAACAATTTCCTGACGTAAACATGTCTGGTATTTCCCTGACATCTACTCATCGGGATAGTTTCATGTCAATGGTGAGTGTTTTAGGTATCTAAATATTTCTGCAAATGTGACCCAAGGTACGATGCTCCAAATTGAGTTCAATGCTATTTATCCAAATTTACATAATTAGAAAGCATTGACAAGTGTTGATAAAGGTATTTATTTTGCAACCATATTATTTCTGAACAAAAACAATGAATCTAAACAGAAATAACAGCATGATTATTGATTTGATGAATCATTCCTACTTACAGAAAATGCTGAAAAGAAGCAGTGGTATTGAAACTTGAACTGAATCATGACTTTAATCCATGTATTAATTGTTGCTCAAAGCTGAAAAGCTATGGTATTGACATCAGCCTGCGGTATTAATCCTTGACCATGATTATTAACAATATAAATGCAACCTCCTGAGTAAAGCATTTAGCATTGCCTCTTGAATATAAGGAAATTGTTCTGCTGGTTAATATTTCCTCCATGACTATAAAATCGGAAGAGGAATAGGCCATTTAGCCTGACACGCGTGCTCCGTCATTTTATTAAATCATGACTGATCTGCAACTCAATACGATTAGAATCATAGAATTTTACAGCGCAGAAGGAGGCCATCCTGCTCAACGTGTCTGTTCCGGCTCTTTGAAAGAGCTATCAACTAGTCCCACATCCTTGCTCTTACCCCATACCTGCAATCTTTTTCCTTTTTAAGTGCCTATTTAATTCACTTTTGAAAGCTTTTATCGAATCTGCTTCCACCACCCTGTCAGGCAATGTATTCCAGACCATAACAACTCTCTGGGTAAAAAATAATCTCCTCGTCTCCCCTCTGGTTCTTTGACCAATTATCTTAAATCTGTGTCCTCTGGTTACCGATCCACCCACCAGAGGAAACAGTTTCTCTCTACTCTCCCAAAACCACTCATAATTTACTATTTGTCTGCTTTTTCTCCTTGCCCCATTGAATTCTACAATCCCACATCTCTCTAAGTAACATAATGTTTTCTGATTTCGCTACTAACCGGTCTAGTTCTAATTTTTCAATTATCCTCTCTTATTCTAGCCACACAATACAATTTACATTTATATAGTGCCTTTCACATTGGGAATTCACATATCAAAGTGCTTGCTTGAAACCATAGGAAGGAGTCCCTCCTTATCCACTTTGTCAGTTTCCTTTACTATCTTAAATCACTGGTACAAATGTACAAATCACTTCATGCCCTGGCATCTCCTTACTTCTCCGACCTACTTTCTCCACTACCCACTGCCTTCACGTGTCTGCCTTCAGTCTCTTGCACATGCCTCATCTCCTCTGTTCCACTGTCGATTGCCATGCTTTTAGCCACTATGCCCCAAACAATGGAACTATGTCTCCTATCCCTCTGTCTTGCTTCCTCCTTCCTGCCTTCAGATCACAGCTAAAGACCTTCCTTCCTCTTCAACCATGCATACAGTCGCCTCTTCTCTCCCCAGCTCGGCGACAAGCTCCGCCGTTGTTAAGTGCTCCAAGATGCTACCCGCATGCTTTATAAATACGTGTTGTTGTTGAACACCTCAATCAGATCAAATGCTCAGCCTCCTCTGTTAAAGGGAGGACAGCCACAGTTTGCCCATTTTGTTCTCATAACAACAGAACAGAACACATCGTAATAATGAAATATCTTAACTAATATTGAGGCAAGTAGCAAAATTGCAATCTAACTAGACAAATTCCTCCCTAATCTTGCACTAAATTGGGCAAACTGCATACTGTAATTTTCCATGCATATCACATCACTACCTCTCAGCAAGCAAGTTGTTCAATAGATTTTCAAAATTTTGGTTAACTTTGAGTAACTTAGCTTCAGAAAAATAAACTTCAGGTCATCACTCTTTTTCTCCAGATACACAATCTCATAACTAACTGTTTGCAGGTAAGACATTGCTATTGGAGGCAGAGGAGCCTTTGTACCGTTTGCATTCTGGCAACACCTTCTTGTCCTACATTATGGTTCTCCTGGATGTCCGTAACTTAAACTCTGGTCAATAGGTAACACAGTATTTCCCAAATAATAAGTTCCATTTTCAAACATGAAACGAAGAATAAACATAATCTGTATTTTCTCCAGGAAGAAATGGTTTAGGAATAATCCTCCATTATAATCCTTCTTCAATGAGCACATGATTCTTCAACCCACTTACCTCTCCCAAGAAGGATAGCACAAACAGCCATGAAGCGATTGACCGATTTTACATCTGGGGAATTCTCTTTTCAAATAGTGCCATGGGATCTTTACCGTCCAACTGAACAGGCAGATGGGATATCAATTAAATGTTTCATCTGAAGGATGGCAACTCCAATAGCACAGCATACCCCCAACTCTGCATTGGAGTGTCAACCGAGACAATGTGATTTCAGAAGTAGGATTTGAACCCACAACCTTCTCACTCAGAGGCACCAGCTAAACCAGGCTGACACAGTGATCAGTTTCTACATGTGTCAGATACCCAGATGACCAAAAACAATGTATAGTTATACAGATGTAGAAATCAAATTGTAAAAAAGATACAAAGGGTAAACACCATATGTTATAATAAAACAGGAATCGCAATGGCATCCCAATCCACCAAGTCAAGACCCATTGTTCAATAGATTACTTTGCCCAGCTCAAACTTGCAGATTTATTTTTTCCTCAGTAGACTCAATTATTTAATGTTTTACTGTAACTAGCTCATTAACTAGGATTGATATATACAGACTTTGAACATTAATTGTATTGAATAAAAACTCAATTAACACACAGTAACAAAGGATATAAAAAAATCGAAATAAATTTAAAATTCTGCAATTAGTTTAAGTACTGGAATCTATCCTGTTTTATCTTGGTTTGTGATTGTTATGAAGTTCTCCCTTTTGATAAAAAAATAATATAAGAGGCTTAAAGAAGATCCTTATTCAGAATTTAGTCTTGGAAAAGGATGGTATCCTTGGAAAAGCAAACAAGATGAGTCAGAATATTGCCCTACATCACTGAACCAATGTGTCTTTTTCAGAGAGGAGAAACACAATTGTAATGTCTCTTATTTTTCATTATTCCTGATTAAGTTCCACATTTAAATGTAATTTTGAACATTCCAAGGACTTTTAACTCACATTGGTTAGATTGACACTCCAATAATAATAATAATCCTTGCATTTGATCTAGCGCCTTATCATGTCTTTGAGACATCTCAAAGCACTTAACAGAATATTTTGTAAAGTGAATTGACTGTATATTTTGTGAGTGATACGCTGCAGCCAATTGCACACAGCAGCATCCCACTAGTGTTCCAATGCAGGCATACAATTTGCAACAAAAATTGTATACAAACACTGACTCATTAAGATTGTTGACTCATTAAGAGCTTTCTGCAGTACAGTGTCTCCTACAAAAAGTTGATTTTTACCGTTTATTATTGTTTTATTCTGTTTATTCAGTCCTGCATCAGGATGCCATTTTTGTTTCACAACCAAATTTGCTTTGTCAAGTACTGCTGTACATCAGTAAAATTTGCCGCCTAATATAAAAACCCTATATTTCACTATAACATCCTGTGAAGCACTGTGAGATGTTTCGAGAACGTGATAAGGCATTATATCACATGCTAGAATGAATATTATTATATTATCAGTCCTATCTCACTTGCTTCAGTTCCAGTCAACTCAATTTCAATCTTTAATCAATGACAGATCTGTTTTAAAATTTGCATCAAATCTTTTCAATCCTTCCCAGTGGCTGACATGCCTTTACTGTGCTGATTGAAGCAAAACGCATCAATGAATTTAAGAGAAGGGGGGGAGAGAGAGGTGGAGAGTATATGACCGAGAAAGAGCATATGAGGAGTACAGGGAGGAGGGATTAGGATGGGTGGATGCTCATGTGGAGTATAAATAATGCCATGAACTAATTAGGCCAAGTGACCTATTTTGATGCTGTAGATTCTGTGTTTGTCATTCTATGTATGAGAATACAAAAGTCAACATGTTTGGCTTTGATGAGCACTTGCAGTCTTGGTTCAGATTCTATTGATCTCTCTGGTTGCTCACTCAAGTTGAATTCAACAGTGTGTAACCAGAAATTTATCAGACTTGGATCTTAATTTTAAGCCTCACTTTCAACTGCTGCTGAAACCTTTATCACCACTATAATTGGATTATTTTAGTGTTTCCTTTGCAATTTCCTTGGCTCTTCTCATTTAAACTTCAACTCATCCTTGCCTCCTCAATATGGTACCACACAATATGCCAGAATCCAATCACTTATTGTTGCCAAGTTGTACTAGGTCTCGGTCTTCCAGTGGATCATTTCAAGATTTTCAACCTTGTCTTCAGTCTCTCCATCACCTTATTCCATCCTATCTGTGGGGATTTTTTTAGTCTTGTGTTAGTCCACGCTCTGTATTCTTCTGCCAGTAGTTTGCTGCTCAAACACTTCCTCTGTTCCATCATTGCAAGCCTTACATTCAGTCGTCTTTGGCACTTCTTCTAGAACTCTTCAAAACTCACCTGTCTTGTTACTTCGCTCCCGGCTTCCAGAACTAACATTAAAAACATTTTGGTTCATGCCTTCAAGCAGTTATAACTTTTGTCTGCTTACTTGATATCATCCAAGCACTTTGAGACGTTTTTACATGAATGGTGCTATATAAGTGAGTTGCTGTGGTAGAACAGTAATTAGGATATTGAATTTATAACTTGTGTGTATTAAATAATTCACAGCTACAAGACCTACATTTTTCATGTTGCATTTTTGCATTAATCAAGGTGAGAAGTCACATTTTTACTTAGATACTAAATGTTAGCATTAAACGCTTCCAAATCAAGTGAAGCACTGGCACATTGCAGAGTGAAGCTCTTTCTACTTGGCTCCAACAATGGGGTTATCCTGCCACATTTGCTACATTAAGTAAATATTTTGTATGCACCTATCTGGGAATTTCAATTACGTGTGTATTATAACATTCATCAATCCTCTTCGATCGTGCCTTCAGTCACCCTCCCACCTCTCTGCCTTCCCTCACGCCTCCCCCACCCCACCCCCATGCTCGGGTCTCTCCCCTGACTGTCCAGCACCTTGGGACGTCCTCCCAACATGAAAGGCGTTCTATAAATGTAATTTTATTGTTGTTGTGTTGTTCATTATAGAAAATAATTCAATCTGAATTTAGAAGGTTGCGTTTCTTTTTTCCGAAGCAAGATTCCCAATGTAATAGCTAATTAGGTTTGTGCTGCAAGGCAGCATCCAACAGAAACTGAAGTAAGAAATATGACCCTTACAGCTAACACAGAGAGGCGGCTTTCATCTCATCAGTCTCAGGTGAATTTAAAGCTCGCTCCTAATGTGAAAGGATAGTGTGCTGATTCAATCTGCCACCCAGGTGCTTTAACCCTGCATTAGAAAAGAAAGAACAGCTCACCTTCAAGTGTATTATCAAAAATTTTAAAAATATTATGTGAATTGCATCATAGTTGTAGGTTCGGATGAGGCATTAAACCAATCTAAAAAGAGAAGGGAATTTTTCCTGGTGTATTCACCAACAACCTTCCAGAATAATTGCTGTTTGCAGAATCTTGCTGTGTGCAAATTGGCTGTTACTTTGGGCTACAAAAATAGTCATTAACTTGACAGCAATTACTGTGAAGCGCTTTTAAGATGTTTTGATGTTATTGGTGATATAAAAATGTTCTCTTTCTTTCGATCCTTCCCAGGCACAAAACATATAGGTGCTGCGATTTCGTTTGCATCTAATTATTTTCAGCAAAAATTTGGCAACTAAGAATTTAACCCTTAGAGCAACAGATTTGCTGCATAGCATAATTTTTTTATGGGAGCCGTACGGAGTTAGTGTTCACACACCCATTCCTGGCTTTCCAGTGTTTTGGGGTTAATATTACCTGAGCGCACTAAAATTATTATTAGTAATAAATATAATCCACATTTGAGTACCTTTGATTGTAACATTAGTGAACAAATTGAAATAATGCACAGTTTATAGTACACAAGTTATCATAGGTTAATATTTGTTGGCACTCAGGGTTAAAAATAGTTAAAACAGAAAATTGTTTTCCTTTGAATGATGAACTTCCTGCAGTGTGAGTTTATCACGCTTCATCTGTTGTTGTGAAGTGCTTTGAGATGTCTCGACAATGTGATAAGGTACTACATCAAATGCAAATGACTATTATTAGATTCCACTTCAGAAATGACAGATTTAGGGATTTTTTAAATCCTAGAATTCCTGTTTGTGTCCTTGTTACCAAAGAAAATAAATTGTGTTAGAGGAAAACAAAATGTAAACAATTGATTTTGAACTGCAACAACTTTAAAATATGCAAGTTATTTTTAATTGTTCTTATTAATATTGGGGTTGGGAATTGTGGCCAAATAATTAAATGCAGAGAAATAATTATTTCCATCTGCTTAACCCCTACTAGGTTGGGTATTGTGTAAAAGCTTTTCTATATTACCTTTCTATAGTTAGACTTAAAACATTTAATTTTTTGTTTTATATTAGTAACGAAAGGTTCAATAAACATCCTTTCAAAAATTATTATCCACCAATGGACATAATAAACAAGGGTGGCTTAGTTGTGTAACTACAGATAGTGCATAGTGTGTTATTAATCTCAAGGGTTGCATTATAGATTGCATAGAGGGCAGATTGTCCATTCAGCCGAATGACAATAATAATGATGGTGAAATTGTCGTAGCTTGTTTCAAGACCATCCTTATTTAAGCATTCTATTCACATCCAGCTGTATTCAATCTCTCTCTCTGTGATGGATAAATTACCATATTCAAGTTTTATGACAAGTTACAATCAGGCACTGACTGATCAGATGTAGCCTGGATTGGATGCAGAGTAAATGTATTCCCCTCCCCCCCCATATAGTAACTGTTACTCTCCCTTAAATTTTCCTTAGTTGACCAATATTGGCGAGTTAATGTTATTCATAAGACAACCACCCATTGTAAGTTCCTGGGCACAAGTGGTGCAGCTGTTTGACATGGAATGTTTATTTTGGCACAAGTTTTATATATTTTTCAAGCATCTCTTACTTTCCTCTAAAATGGAGTCTTATAGGATAGTGGTTAGAGCACTCGCATTGCAAGTGAGAGGACCCAGGCGGGGCGAAACAACGCAAGTTTCTCTACTCCACATGCCTCTGTTTACCTAGCACTAAGTAGTAACCTATTAGCGATTCGTGGATCGCTTTTCCAGGGTAATAATCCCTTAAAAAATATTTGGTCACTCAATCCACGACTGTGCGTGGGACATTGGTGTGTGAAATTGGCTGCCCTGTTTAGCCCACAAAATATAGTCAATTCATTTTCCAGTATATTCTGTGAAGCGCTTCGAGATATCTCAAAGACGTGATAAGGTGCTATATCAAATGCAATGATTATTATTTATTATTATTAATAATACCAATTATTATTGTGGAATGAAAGGAAAGTACGCTAGTTCATCCTCTGAATTTTCTCCTATTCTTCCTGTGAGGAAGCATTTGACCTTCATTCTGTGGCGACCATTAAAACAGAAGTAAAGAATTCATTGTGTGGGAATAATAATGATGGTGAAATTGTCATAGCTTGTTTCAAGACCATCTTTATTTAAACATTCTATTCACATCCAGCTGTATATAGGAACACCTATATCAAAAGCACAGAACATCAACATACTGCACCAGAAACAGCCTATTTTTAAACAACAGGCTGTGTATTAACACATAATGCAGTCTAATGTAGGTTTGAGCTGCTTCATAATAAGGATTTACTTTATTTTAACACATTTCTTTCAAAAATTCCCCATTCCTAAAACAAATAGTGTTCAAGCATGAATACAAATTATGTAATTAGACTAAAATTGGTATTACCAAGATTTTAAAAAGTGAGAGTTAAAAAAAAATGAAAATAGACTATTCAGTGGGATAGCTGCAGTTCCTTAAATTGTCTGTGCTGTTATATTAACTAATACAGTACAATTTACATTGATATAATATCTTTCACATTTGGAGGATGTCTCAAAGTGCTTAACACTGCTGGCTAGGCAACTGAGTTGAAGGTGAAAACCAAAGGGTGTTGGAAGGGGAAAGAAGACCGAAAACACGGTCAAATATACATCTTGAAGCACTATATTAAAGTAATCGAAGTGACTGATAGCTTTTCTTACTGTTCAGCCTCCCACAGAGATGTCAGACACTACATCAGTAGCAGAGCGGTTCCTTCACGAAGAAGAAAAACGCGCCAGAGAGTTGGAAAAAATGTTGAATTCCCACATTGATGAGTTGCAGCACAGTTCAAAATGTACAGTTGAGACATACACTGAAGCTAAACAAGGTGGACACTCTGCACCTTCATGGCGTTAATGCACTTGTCACAAAATCAGAAGTACTGTGAATGTCTTGAGATTAGTATATAACGCTTAGTAAATTAAGTAATTTGTTACAATTATGACTAATTAAAGCAGTTCAGTTGAATGTGTGGAATTAAAACTGCACACTTTTATGTCAAAAACCTATATTTTTAGAACTGTTGAAAAACTGGAAAGCAAGATTGTGGTTATCTTCTTTTTTAAATGCATAAATGTATAAGATACACGTTTATGAAAGTAAATTATATTTATTAATTGATAATTAATGTTTCTGTTGGTTACTTGCACTATTTTACATTATTTTTCACCCACATCAGTGAGTGAAGAAAATGTCTTTCAGACCATCAAGCTCCCTCCTACAACAACAATGCAAAATCTATCCCATTGCGCACATCAGCCACATACTTTTGGGGGAAAGAGTATTGTATAGGTACATTTGAACACCAAAGTAATTAAGGAAAACTCAAGAATATTAATCCAACCTCTCAATCCCACTAGTCAATCCCAGTGCACCATCTGCAGATGACACTCCATCTCTACCAAGACCCAGCAACACATTGTATTCCAAGGAGAATTTATTCATTCGTGGTGACACCTATTCAGATATCATCCAATACTGTTGTCACAAAAATACTTACCTAGTTCTTTTTAAGAGCTAAGTGTCTACATTTGTTGGAAATTGTATGTAGTAAAATGATTTACCATTATTTTATCAAATGATGTGAGGAAGCAATATTATATTAAATGATACCAAAGCTGTGTAAATAATTTTGCAGGGTTTGTGCTTATTTTAATCTTTGGCAGGACATCAAATAGGGGAGATAGTTAAGTTTTCCATACATCAGTGTTGCAGTTTGAGGTAGCTATTGTATGAGACTATTCATATAGTGATTTATAAAGAATAAAATACATCTTACTCGTAGAAAAAAAGATTGTATACCCACTTTTGACATTTTTCTGGCATTTTTCTTCAGCAAAAGGAAACACATTTTGAAATCTGTATGATTAGAATAAGAGTACCACATTGCAATTTATGTTTAGAATCATTTCAGTGAGCCTCCTTTAAAGAGAGCTCATTTATACAATCACTGGGTATTTGATTGCAAGAAAGATTGAGGGAACTGTGGAAGCAGAAGAGACAGCAAAATAATAATAATAATAATCCTTGCATTTGATATAGCGCTTGTCACGTCTTCTAGACATCCCAAAGCGCTTCACAGAATATACTGTAAAGTGAATTGACTGTATATTTGTGGGTGAACGCGGCAGCCAATTGCGCACAGCAGTGTCCCACAAACAGTCATAGATTGAAAATGACCAATTTATTATTGTTTTGTTTTTTTGGAGGGATTATTACAAAGAGAGATTGATATGCTATGCATATGGACTGATAACTGGTAAGTGAAGTTCAATGAAGATAAATACAAATTACTGCATATAGGAAGTAAAAATAGGAAGCACATACTCTGGATGGGAGAGAACAGCTGAGGGGGAAGATTAAAGAAACCTATGGATGTTAGTTGACGCATCACTTACCATGTCAAAATAATGTGAGACGTCAATAAGCATGCTAGGCTATATTGCCAAATCAGTTGAGTTCAGATTCCCTCATGTCAAGCTCAAGCTGTAATTTGCTCCTGGGTATGTCACACCTCGAGTACTATATACAGCTCTGGTTGCTGCTGAATAAAAGGGCTGCCCAGGCAAGGATGAGCTAAGAAGGATGAGATCAGATAGACTAAAGGGCATTCTTTATCCATATCTCTCATGATCTTATGATATAGTTCATTTATTATTTAACTGTTTCAGGGATAAAGGTAACTGATATAATTTCATCAAAACGCAAAACAACGCATTGTGGAGTCCTGTAGCTCAGTGGTTAGAGCACTCGCTTTGCAAGCGAGAGACCTGAGTTCAATTCCAGGCACAGGGCGAAACCTTGGGCAAGTTTCCTTACTCCACACGCCTAATAATAATCCCTCCAAAAACCAAAATAAATTGGTCATTTTCAATCTACGACTGTTTGTGGGACACTGCTGTGCGCAATTGGCTGCCGCGTTTGCCCACAAATATACAGTCAATTCACTTTACAGTGTGTTCTGTGAAGCGCTTTGGGATGTCCTCCTGACATGAAAAGCGCTATATCAAATGCAAGGATTATTATTATTATTATTAAAATACTGCAGATGCTGGAAATCTGAAACAAAAACAGAAGTCGCTGGGAACATTCAGCAGGTCAGGCAGCATCTATGGGGAAAGGAAAGTGAGTCAATGTTTCGGGTCCGTGACCCTTTGACAGAGTAGGACGAAGGGTCGTGGACCCAAAACGTTGACTCACTTTCCTTTCCCCGTAGATGCTGCCTGACCCACTGAGTGTTCCCAGCGACTTCTGTTTTTGTTTCAGATATAATTTCATGATGAAGTAGCTATTGAGATAGAAATGATCATTTCAATTCAGTACTATTTTTATTTGTTGTGCTTTTATTTGCACTAATTTGCTTTAAACAGCTGAAGTCAGTAAAGTGTAATTCCCTGAGATCTTGCAAAATACAGTAATGCCATCCCCATTAAAATGGTTTTAATCTCTGTGTAGGAAAATACATCTTTCCTTTGAAAGTGTATTTAAATTGAACATTCAAAGTGCAAATATTCTGAACCCATATTACAGCAGACCAATCAACACATACAATGCCTCTAGTTAAGGAAGCAAACCACAAGGGGAATACAGTGCACCATTAAGCATATAACTGTAACTCCCTACTTAATTAGCTTTTATTGTAAGGTAAAAACAAAAATATTATGAAGACCCAAGGGATATGGTTTACATCCTCCTCATTAAGCTCATTCTAATTTATCAGATTAGCCTACCTCATGCTATGTAAATCACGTCCTCCAGTCTTATCTTTCATTCAGCTGCCATTTCATTTTTGTGCGCTCCATTTGAGTGAGGAATTGTGAGCCTGACCACTTGGCTCCAGTTAGCGTGTGGTGCAGAACAATAAGGAAATTTTACCCTCAATGATGATAAAGATACTATTTAACTAGATTTTTGGAAAGACTATGATGGCCATTCCAACACCAATGCAGTCAGTCAGGATTAAAGGTGGTACTTGAGATTATTAATGATAACAATAATCCTTTCACTTGCAGCCGTCAAGCTGCTGAATGACCGTCTCTCCACAACCTTTAATTCCCTGGCTCCCTTGAAATCCAAGGCTGTTTCCAAATCCACCAGTTCCTCCTGGTACAAGTCACCTCTGCTCACTTAAAACTCAAACCCAGACGCTCGAGCACAGATGGCAGAAATCTGGCCTCACGATTCACTGCCATCTGTGGCTTGAGCACCTCCACACCTACCGCCTCTCCCTTTCACAGGCCCAAACTGACTTTTACTCCAAAGTTATACTGGAGCCAAAACACTGTTTTCCACCGTCCATCACCTACTCCGTGTATCCGCTCTAGCTCCCTCTATCCCCATATCAAACATCAAGTGTAAAGAGGTTCTAGACTTCTTTGCCTCAAAGATTGAAAACATCCCCTTGGCTGCATCATCCATCCCAATGTTCCCTTCCACCCCAGAACATCCACACCGCCTTCTCCCTCCGCCATGGCTCCTGCCACTTCCCCCTCTTATACTCCTTGGCCCCATTTCTCTCTCCCTCTCAACCAAAATCATCCGCATGAAGTTCGCTGCCTCGAACCCCTCCCCACCCAGCTGCCGGTCATTCAATTTTCCCTCCTCTCCCCCCTTGCTGACCGACACAGACAACCAGTCTCTCTCCTCAGGTTCTGTTCTACTCTCCCTGAAAACTACTGTTATCACAATACTCCTCAAAAAACCCACCCCCAATCCCTCCAATCTCTCACACTACCATCCCATTTCCAACCTACCCTTCCTTGCTAAAGTCCTGGAATGCTTTGTTACAGGTCAACTTCGGTCACACCTCTTCATCCATTCCCTCCTCAAGACCCTGCTGTCTGGTTTTTGCCCTCTCCACAGCGCAGAGATAGCAATTGTCAGTCACAAACCATGTCCTCTCTCTTGTGACCAGGCTCCCTCTGCATCTTTGTCCTCCTAGATTTCTCTGCCACGTTCGACAGTCGACCACACCATCCTCCTCCACCGCCTCTCCTCCCTCATCCGCCTTAGTGGGACCGCACTCGCATGATTCGAGTCCTATTTAACCAACCACCTCCATTTCATCTAGGCAAATGGTTTCCCTTCCCGCCCCCGCTCGGTCACCTGCGGCATACCCCAAGGCTCGATCCTTGGCCCCCTTCTTTTCCTAATTTGTGAAGTGGAGTCCTGTAGCTCAGTGGTTAGAGCACTTGTCCCGCAAGCAAGAGACCTGGGTTTGATTCCCAGCAGGGCAAAATCTTGCACAAGTTTCCTTACTCCACACGCCTGATGTTAATCCCTCAAGAATAAAAAACAATAATAAATTGTTCACTAAAATCCACGACTGTTTGTGGGACACTGCTGTGCGCAATTGCCTGCCATGTTTTGCCCACAAATATACAGTCAATTCACTTTACAGTATATGCTGTGAAGCGCTTTGAGACGTCTAGAAAACATGAAAAGCGCTATATCAAATGCAAGGATTATTATTATTATTTATTATAATCTATGTGCTCACTCTTGGCAATATCATCCATAGACACAGGGTAAACTTCACATGTATGCAGATGACACAAATTTGCTTGCCTACTCTAGTCTCGTCTCCAGATCCACCGATGCTCTATTAGCTTGTCTGGCAGATATCAGAGCCTGCATGAGTACAAACTTGCTGAAGCTAAAATTGGACAAGACGGAAGCCATACTTTTTTGGCTCTTGTCAACGTCTTCACTCCTGTGGATCTAAACTCCTCAATCTTCATGGGCTCTCCCTCAGACTCAGCAAACCAGAGTGCAATCTAGGTGTCCAGTTCAACTCAAAGCTGTCCTTCCTCCCCCACATCTGGTCCCTGACCAGGACCGCCTTTTTCCATCTCCGCCATATTGCCCGCTTCCAACTGTACCTTATCCTAAATCCAGCCGAAACCCT